TACAGTGTTCATTGTGAATGGTTTACTAGTTAACACTTATTATTTGCTTGCTGCTATACTGTATTAGACGAACAATCTCTATGTGACATTAAAAAATACAGAAGAATGCTGTCATCACCAAAGAATGAAAAAGGAAAATGAACCTTTTTCAGTAAAGGTATGGAAATTTAAAGCGTTTAACTTTAACATTACTTCTTCCTTACTTCAGCGATTTAGAAACATACACTTTGTTCACTTATTTACAGATATCCGGTAATGTCAGTCAACTTGGTCACAGCAATTCAACATGGGCGAAATAATTACGAAAAACAGTTGTGTAAAGACATTTGCTTATTTTTTTTCATTAAATAGATTTAACATCCTGCTTACAATACTTTTCTTATTCTATCTGAGTGAAACTAAGTTTTTTTGCATGAAAAGATGCAGATGTCAGACTTATCAATGATACTTGATGATTTATTTGACTGCATAATTAAACGTAAGCGGAATGTTACTACGACTGCTACAGCTCAACCTACTTATTTATTCGTTATGTGTAAACTTAATTTTACAGTATACGTTAACACCCGTTATCATAGGGACTGCTATAACGCTTTAATTTAAATATTAGTAATACACTGATTTGGAATACACCTAACCGTATACGAACTGGAACTGCAATGCAGTGCCTAAGTTCTACCTATTGCTGTCATTGTTCCATACAGACTTGCGTATGACTATGAGAAGTTTTCACGTAACTGTAGACAGAGACTTAAGGGCCACTAAACTACTTATAATTCACCACGCATATCGGTCGATAGTGTTCCTACAGAATTACACTTAAGTATAGTAACGAGTTCAAGTCCTAGGGAGCACCGGTCTAGCATGCCGTGCTCACAAAGCGAATACATGAATTGAAAGACAACAAGATTTATATGAAAAGTTCATATTTATTATAATACAACATTATTTTGTTTACATATTAAGAAAATGGTCCATTTGTGCAATTACTTCTCCCGCTTTCGGATGCGCACAAGTTACGAGACCATGTCCATCGTTGACACTTATGCAGCACATTATTAACTACAAAAGGTGGAAGAGTAAGCAAAAATAGAATTATGCACACAATATTACAGGATAAATAATGCTCTCATTCGCATTGGCTACCTGAAATAAACTAAAAAGGATTTGTCAATTAGTATCCATCTGCCTCACGACTGTTTCAATATAATTCCGTAGAAAAAGCAACATTGAAATACATCACTGAGCAATATCCACCGATAAAATGCTGCACGTATAACCTAAAATCGAGAAAAGCCAAAGAACTCACGGGTTCCTTGACATCGCCAGCAACCGATAGGCCAACAAACCGAGTGTATGATAAGCCAAGCCTTGTACATGCACAAATAAGTAAAAGAAAACGTTAGAATACTCAAATTTTACATTTATTTTCATCAAATATGCTTGTAAACAACGCATACCTCAAGCACACAAACCTGCAACGACATCACCTAACAAGGACAAATTAAATATCAAATTAGCCACCACTGTTCCAGACAATGAAAGACGAGAAAACCTGAGGCGCGGAAAAATTAACACGTCATAGAACACATCCTCACCCAAACGCTAGTGCAGTTCTTCAGTGCTCAAAAATTACTCTTGATAAGTAAATTATCAGTTGTGTAACACTGCGGGGAGTTCAAGTCAAATCATAGAGACAAAAAAAAGAAAAAACTGAATTACGTTAGAGCAAAACTGGAGGGAAGGTTAAAGGAAAAGATTATGTAATCAGATAGAAGGAAGAGACTGGACTCTGAGTTATCACGGCAAGCACAGACACATAAATTAAGTTTTAAACGTTTGATAGTGACTGCTTCAGCAAATCTGAGAAGAGTTGAATTATATTGTCTGTTAATAGTCTTGAAGGCTTTCACGGTGTCCACCTTCATGACCCGTATCAACAAGATGTCTGGCAATAGCACTATCCAAAACACTTGTTCACTTAAGAAGTGAGCATTTCGGTACATATTCAGAAAATCTGAGATTTGCACATCTTTTTACTCACACAATGTAACTGCTACAGTAGACACACGTAAATTTGCATACACAATCAGAGTTAACATAAGAAGGGTATCTACTGACTTGTGACTACATCATAGAGTATATTGTTTGGTAAATGGTAACTAACTTGGCTATGGGATACCCTCTGCTTAGAGAAGTATTCAGTCTTGTATAATATTACCACCTTTACAATCGAGTTGAATAAAAACAGGTTTCTTATTCATCCCGGTTTGTTTTACAAATCTTCAGACCTTTCATATTTGTTGATGAGTTTCGAAAGGTATCTTTCATTTTTGAAAATCTTCTCAAAGTTAAGAAATTCGTCCTTCAGTCTTCAGAGCCAAAAGAATTGGAGCAAATTTTTCTGACTCTGCAAAAAAGAGTTTTGACCAATGCTCATTTTTAGCTAATTGGACAAAAGCTGATGAAATTCAACTATACTCTACTGACTCTACATGTGTATTTTCGGAAAATGGATCTTTGCAGACTTCCATCATTCAAGCATTGTACGGCAGGCAATATCAATAAAGTGAAAGTTCCCATCAATTTGTTTCTGTGAAGATTACACAACTAATTAGTAACACTTATCATCAACTGTGTGGAGGTCAACAACACTCAGCATCAAAAATAAGATCCCGATTTTCAACTCCAATGTGAAGTCAGTCAGTGCTACTATACGGATCAGAGACTTACACTGCGCGTCATAAAGAGCATCTCAAACAAACTACAGACCTTCATTAACAGATGTCTTCGCTCAATACTCAAGATCAGATGGCCGGCCAGAAATGATCAGCAACAGAGATCTCTGGCAATGAGCGAACCAACACCGCAGGAACCGATTGTGAAACAAACAGGCAGGAAGAAATGGAGATGGATTGGCTGGCCATACTCTGAGGAAACCATCAAGTGACATCACTAGACAAGCCATCGCTCGAGTGGAACCGGAAAGGGAAGCGGCGAATTGGTCGTCAATGCAAGGGTGACTTGGAGGAGGTTATGTGAAGAGGAGATGAAAACGTGTGGGCAGACTTGGAGCCAGGTGAAGAACCTAGCAGAGAACAGAACGCAATGGAGACGCACGGCTGAAGCCCTATGTTCCTGTAGGAATTAAAGGATACAATAATAATAATAATCAACTACTCATCTCTTGTCTTGACTGCGCAACTCAAATTTCAATCTATCTGGCCATTAATTTTGTGTGTTTGTATTTTGTTTAAACTCTGACCTGTTTGCATAAGTTGTAGAATAGTGACTTCTGAGCAGTGTTTAATAACTTTGTGTATGTGTTAGCTAAATATTGTGTAACCCTGGCAAGTATGTTACATTGTCTCTGTAGATATATTTAATTAACGTTTAGGTTTAGCGCAACTGAAGAGTAATGGACCAATGAAATAAATGATGGCTTCATCTTATTCTTTTACTTGATTTTATTTAGATTCACAAAGGGGAATATGCTTGCGGTGAGAGCTAGCTGCAAGCCAAAAATTGTAGACAACAATTCACATCAGTGTTCATGTTCCTAATCAGGGTCATGAGAAAAACAGTAACCAATCTTAACCTTGAGGAACTCACCAACCATTCACAGCAAACTTAGAGTAGGCGGATACGATTCGCAGATATATGGCCGGATTGCTTAAGAAATGGCAACAAAGAGATGACAGAATAACCTTCAGTAGGAAAACAACCTTTCAGAAGACGTTGCTTCTCCGCTAACAATAACGCTCATAATACTGCTATAAATATCTCTTGATTTTCTCAATAAACCATCTGTTACCTTACCCTTGTCTTCTATCGTTACAAGTTTATAGAGAAATTAGGTGTTAAAAATAAGTATTAGTACAGGAAAGTAAACAGATTTAGCGTGTATGCAAAATTAAGTAGTGAGGATTCTACTAAGAGAGCTACAAATCTTTTCTTTTACTTCATTGAGCTTTTAGTGAAGTGTGTGACTGAATATTCTTAAAAGAATATTTCAAAAGTGAAGCCTCAAAATACTTGAGCTTAGTTAGATGGAATATCCGATATCCAAATAAAAAGTACGCATCTTTTCTTACTACAGGAATAAAATTAAACATGATGCTTACAGTCGTCGGTGATGGTGGGAATTAAATACTCCTACAGTATCAAGTTGCCTTATTTCTTCATTTTGCCATTTGATAACTGTATACTCATCATTCGTGGTATAATCAGTCTACGTCTTCTTTTGAGTTGGTTCACTAAAGGACATCAAATGTCTGCAAAACTAACCGGCACTACAGACTGGAGTTGTTTAGAGTCCCAATGAAAACGTCATGATCAGTAGGGTCGGGCGTGAGAATAGACATTCACCAATGGCAGTGACACTGTCGATATGTTGCAAATGAAGAGATGTTTGATCTCAACCTAATGGCTGGATTTTCAAAAGGTTCAACTTGTAATATGATGGTGCTGGTTTCGATCGCTGGCACTCGTTGCTGGGAAGTCCCAACTTGGATGAAACAACTGTTTTGTACCTCTCGATTTTCATAGGCTCTCTAAGTGATGTATCGGTTCACTATCTAACGTGATGTCGATCAAATCCGCGTAAACCAATAATTGTATAACCACGCAGGTGTTACGGTGTTCAATCCCCGGCCACAGACACACTCCCTTACCTCACTAAGCCAGCAACAAGACTGTTAAAGAGGGAAGGTTGGGTATGAGGCTAGCAACCTCATCCATCCTCTAGCTTGAAGCCCTGGAGTAGTAAAAAACAGTATCAAAAATACTAATTCAAACCCTCTTTGAATTACAAATTTGTCTACTTGTTGTACGAGAAGCCAACTTTGAAGGCGATTTCAAATTCTTCGCCTTCACCAACTGCTTTCATTAAATATATACTACTTATATTACAAAAAGTAGTTTCAATATTCAATTACAATATTTTATTTTCATGTTTCATTTAATAACAAACAATGAAATGCTGATAATTAGTTAGTCAGTTAACATCTACACCTGCATCTCCCTTGAGCTAGGCGATAAGATGTAGCCTCAGGTCGAATAACTGGAGTTGCAGACCGCAAGGAGATATTTGCATACATTTGACGTTGATCAATTTTATATGGTTGACCATTTGCATCAGCTCTATAAAATTTAAATTAAATTTCAAACAATCAGTTAAGGCATTAAATATATTTTAATGAATTTAAAGTATAAGTTTTCGTTAGGGGTGCACGTATCAATGTTCAATGCCTATTTATGAACATGACAGCTTGAAAACTCTTTTAATTCATGAATAATTCCCATCCAGATATTATTGAAAACAAACAGTCTTGTACAACGAACAGTATCTTTTCGGTGACGAATTCATTTACTTAGCTATACAATCGCGATTATATAGACTTATTTTTTGTGTATATATATATATATTTTGTGTAATAGTATGTATATATATTATTACAATATTCATGTGTTTGCGTATATTTATCCTTAACAATATTTATAAAGTATTCAACTAATGATTCCTACCAAAATTTATGAATTCATTAAACGCTGCTTTTTCTCACACTTGTCACTGAACGAATTTGATTCATTTACCTTAATTGATATACATAAATTTTATATCCGCGCAGGTAACATCTGCTCAAATGAAAATAACCGGTTAACCAAGTTGATGAACCTGGGGTGAAATGGTGTTTATTTTATTGTAAAATACATCCAAATATTAGGTGGTTAGGGGCAATCAACAGGAAGCCCTCAACTTAGGTTTTGTGCTAGTTGGCACTCACGAGTCAGCAAGGTGTATCTGAAACCTTCATCAAACGCATTTCTCCTCTGAGATTCAAACCCATGTCAGGCAGTGCTGCAGTTAGAGACTTTACCAGCCAGGTATTCGAGATAGTGATCGACCCCCTGTAGGACTGTATTAGATACTTCTAATAAACACTTGGTAGTGAGTAACTAGAGTCATGCCTCTAGTCCTTGGTGTCTGGTGCAAACTGAATTCTTCTGTCAGTCAAGTTTTGCAATGTTGCCACCATGCTAGATGCATAGCCATCATGGTGCACTTTGGATTATAGTTATTAGGCGGTTTTAGGTAATCGATAGAAAGTCGATTATTATCTGTTTAATAAATATAATTTATAACTGAATGACTTACGGTGGATAATAAAAGCATACTGTCATTTCACTTGACCCTTTTTCTCCAGGACACATACTTAATGAGCATCCAATATGCGTCGTTCTATCTGATACAATCTGTAAGAGTTATAAATTCAATGAAAACACAGTATATAAATTCAACAATATACTCTTAGAGCTTGTCATATTCCACAGGATTATGACTAATTGACACAGTGAGAGAATGGTAGTGCATGTATCATGAAACCTGATAATCTTAAACTTCAGACATTTAATCGTTGGGGGTGACGGTGGGGGGTTGTACATGACACTGAAAAGGCCCAAGTCAGGTTAAAACGACAGTTGAGAGCACACTTTTCGATTTCTATGCGTCTGGTGAAATTATTACTAAAATCGAGTTTTAAACAACCAAATTTTCATGAAATAAATTGCCTAAACTGCCTACCTTCTTTAAATAACATAATAAGAATTATTATCGTTTAAGTGACGAGGGCGGTGTTTACCGCAATTACAGTGTTACAAGTTTCCTTTATGGACTTCATGTTCTCAATCCAGTGATTCATTATTCCTCGGGTAATTATCTAGTTGACCATAATGCTACTGGGCTCGAACCACGGCAGATATTTATGCATAAAGAGTCCGCATAATGAGATGAAACAGCTGTCCAGTACTCTAGGTGATATCAATCTATGGTGAAACTTGGTAAAAGCCAAATCCTTACGAAATAATTCTTGAGGATTAATCTGATTCACGCTAGTAACTATCTACAGGAATACGCTGCCAGGAGTTATAGAGAGGCAGTAACCAGGGGCACCCACTGAAGACATTCGGTTGGTCGGTCGGTTTTCGACATAGAACTTTGCACATATGTGCGCCAGTTCAAGTCGCCACACTCCATGTGGCACACAAGGCAAGAGAAGAAAGTAGAAGAAATGCATAATATAGACAGTAAACAGAGGTGAGAGACAAAGGAATAGTAATAGCGAAGAACAATATAGTTTCATTGGAAATCATAAGTCACAAGGAGTGGATGAATCTACCTGCGCCATTGAGAACGATTTTGAGCCATGTCACCAGTTGTTTCCAACCATTGGTTTTTACCGTCTCGAGGATCCCAACCAGTCAGGAAGTCCATATCTTCCTACGTGGCTTAGACTAACTGTTGTAGACTTCATTGACTGGTATCATGTTTTCGTTTGACTGCAGCTAGCTCTTTTCCAGCCTGACCCTATATCAGCTACCACTGCCCATTGTCGAGGAAAGCGATGACTAGGCATGCGTAACACATGTCCTGACCATCTTAGTCGATGTAATTTCACAGTCTCGTCTATTGATTTCCCATCCTTACCTAGCACTCGACCGATGCCTAACCTCAATATTGCTCACCTTATTATTAGAACTAGGAATTCATGAGACATTGGACAGGGCCTCAGGGGCTGAATAGTTTACGAGCTCGGGTTGTAACTGAACGATACTTGGTTCGTACTGATGAAGAGTCGCAAACTCGGATGAAATAGCTGGCTGTTCAGTACTCCCTGGTCTTCACAGGCTCTCTAATTGACGACATCAAACCATGATCAGACTAAATGTACATGGGTATTTTTGTCAACTATATGTAAATTAAGTTACTTCACTTCATTCTTGTATTGTTGTTTCCGTTCTTTTTGCTTTCAGAGTGGAACGTACGGAATGAAGCTTGAGCCTTGAAGTTCCAGTAAGGGTGTGAAGTTGCTTGCCTCACTGCTAACCTTCCTCCTTAACCGAACCTAAGAGTGGCTAGTAAGCTAGGCTAGCTAAGGAATATATCATCCTAAAACCAAACCCGGGCCACGTCACAAGGTTGGAGATCATTATATCATTCCTAATTGACAATAATCCTCATTAAAACGCACAAGGCAGTAACTGGAAATATTTCAAAAGGAATATTGTTTTATATCATTTACCTACCTGTTTATAAGATGAACAATCTTGAAGGTTACAGAGATTCTTTTCAAAATTATAATAATGACTCCGTTTGAACCATTCATCGAATGCACTACAAGCAAAATTATTACATTTGAATGATAATTTCTTTTTAAAATTATTCTAACCTTTTAAAGTCATTTCCATTAGCAATATTAATACCGTATTTATTATTGTAAAGCTGTTTAGCTGTATTGACATCTGTATTGCATGTTTTTGCATAACCTGCAGCTGTTTGCTGTAATTCGCTATCCCATACCTTTAAAGCAGAAATTGAACAACATTAAGCAAAAAGAGAGAATATAAGCTGATCTACTCTTATCTCATTCTCAAACTAAGTAATTTATGTTAGAAAAACCTATAGATCATATAACCAGAAGTTCAAAGACCTTTATTTGCACAACGGACGTCATGAACCATTCGTATCAACTAAGTGTCATTCGAAACTACACTTTAACAGTTATTGCAGTCACTTTATTATTGTTTTTACTTCTCCCTTCGGTTCCGAGTGGGATATAAGACTTCAACAGCATATCTGCACTTAGTTCTAGTCTCCACAGTCCTATTTAGCTGGCTTTACGGTTGCCTGTAGTCTCTCATCTCCTTCTCCTCCTCTGACGAACTCCTTTATGTCACACTCAGACAACCGCCCCACTCATCGCTTAACATTCAGGTTCTACTGGAGAGCCCGGAGTACGATATTATTCGACGGTCTCCTCAGCGTATACCCAATATACCTACATTTTATCTACATGTTTGTTGAGTGATCGATTCTCGGTTGATATAAGAACAGAACTTGTACACTGTTGTAGAGTATAACTCCATTGATGAAGTCTCACAGTGTTATACAGTAATATTTACTGATGACCACGTGTTCAGCTTCGTGCCCTTGAAATACAAACGCAATCTGATAAAGTGCTTGGTTCACAGAACAAGAGCAATCTGCTCGAATAAATATCCTAATGAGGAACTTAATAATATTAAACGGTTGCTGAGTGAAAATGGTTACCAAGAAAATTTCATTGATAAGAATATGATTCACAAATCAAGGCAACCGAAGGAACCAACAGTTCCTAAAAATGCCTTATTCTCGCAAATTCAGTCATTGAAGATAACATCAGCGAGATACTAACACAACGCCTGAGGATTAAGGTGTAAAACCAGCATTCCCTGCTACCGAATTACGCTGTGTTTCAAAACCACCTAACCTTATTTTGCGTTCGGGAGTCAAAGATAAACTGCCTAATTTCAACTCTTCCATGTGTATCTACCAATTTAACTGCTCCTGTGGTGCCAGTTACATAGGCCACACAATTAGGCGTGTTTCTCGTCAGATTTCCGAACATCATCCTGTATAGTGATTAAGTAAAGGACAAACAAAATCTATTCGAAGCGCTACTCTATCCCATCTTGTGAATACAGAACACAAGACTGATGTCAACTAGGCAGCTTTCAAAGTCATTTACCACATACCAACAGATCTTAACTTCGCCTTAAGAGTTCGTTTACTAAATAATCCTGAGGCCGGCCGTTGGAATCCACATTAAGAACTTTTTTGATTATAGCTTGAAACCACACAGTATTTTTGGTACAGGTGTGGAATTTTCAGCAAGTGATATCGGTAGCCCTAATTTTGCAGGCCGACCATAGATATCATGTGTGCGTCGGCAGGGGATCGAACCCCGGACCATGTACATGGTCGACGAGAGTCCTAACCGCTGTGCTACCGTCCAAAAGAAGCTAGTTCAGACATTGTCCATCTAGGTTCGAATGATCCTCAATTTTTTCTAGTAATTTTCTTAATTTTAGTTGATATTCTATTTGCTATTATATTATTATTATTATAATTTAAGCAACTTTAATGAACTGTAATTCCACTGTGATCTTCCTTAACAAATCGATATTATTTAAAAAACGCTAAATTGATATTGACTACTATTCTAGAATGTCCTAGGTATATAAACATATATATATAATGGTAGAGCCAGAAAAGAAAATTATCGAAAAGGATGTTCTTTGCTCAATATTTCTTAGTTGAATTCAGCTCATCACACTCATCACATAAATACGACTATTTATTTCATCCCCTTCTAACTACTAATCTGTTATTCTAAGCAAAAAATGTATCCGCCGTATAACTGGTCATTACTATAGCGACAACAAAATACTATAACTATACAAATTCATTAAAAAGAATAATCCTCGATCAAACAGACTTTTAACTGCATATTTTATGTGATCTGGTGGCGTACTATTTGTCTATAAAGCTAACAGTTTATCAAAACGGTATTTGGTTTTCATATAAGTTTCTTTATTAGATATATCACGGTGAAACAGTATCATTTACTGGATGATACAGTTTCGAACTCAGTTTATTACTGTTCATAATCATCTTATTAATTGTGGCCACACAACTTCAGAAATTGAGTTTTACAGCTTTCTTTGTTTTCTCCGATTTGTTGTCGTAGGGGTAGTAGAATTTTCCAGATATCTGGGACAGATGTTGAATCATTCCTTTTACACGTTTTTCCAGCTGACTCAATAAACAAAGCTTCCGTTGTCAATCTCTTTCCCTCCACCCTGTGACATCAGATTTTAAAACTGTTATCTTACCACACCATCCAATATTGTATGGTTGTGTGTAATTGCATGTAGTGTAGTGCTACGGCTGAAATATTCTCTAGATTTCTCATCTTATTCGGGTCAACTAATCCAGATTTTGCTAGGTTTTTATGCTTGGTCTGTCTAAATCATCAGTAGTAATTCCACACAAAGAAGGAACCTCGGAAAATTTACGATGGGGAATTCTCAACAAGGCAGGAATAAAAGTGAGTATCATTCACAAACTCAATTAGAAACAAGCTTTGTCGGTTAAAGTATCAATTCTGTGGAGCCGTTAAAACAAAAGAATTTAGTTTATCTAATACCCTCCCGACAATGATTGTCAGGTCAAATACATACGTTCAAGTAGAAGAACAGGTGCAGTCAGGCTAGCCGAGCATGAAAACCTAGTAAAATCTAGATTGGTTGATCCGAATAAGATGAGAAATCTAGAGAATATTTCAGCCGTAGCACTACACTACATGCAATTACACACAACCATACAATATTGGATGGTGAGGTAAGATGACAGTTTTAAAATCTGATGTCACAGGGTGGAGGGAAAGAGATTGACAACAGAAGCTTTGTTTATCGAATCAACATCACCTGTTCACGTGGACGTCTGGAAAATTCTACTACCCATACGACAAATAGGAGATAAGAAAGGAAACTATAAAACTCAAGTTTCGAAGTTGTGTGATTATAATTGGCGATATGATTTTGAACAATAAAATTTGTTCGAAACTGCGTCATCCAGTAAACAATACTGTTTCACTGTGTGATATACCTAATAAACAAAATAATGTGGAATTAATTAATACCACAGTGACCAAGTTATACACATATATTAGTATTCGGTTTCCGTTTCAACCGTTGTCTGAAAGCACTTATAGTCGCTCAAATTTCTTTCTTGAGTAAACTTTTACTGCTTGGTTCTTGTTTGAGTATTGCGTTTGAGTATTGAGTTCTGATGTATTTGAGCTAGGCTTACGAAATAGTATATAACATAATAAGAAATCAAAACAAAAAAAAACAAAAGTCTAATGAATCGTCCCTTTCACTATCAAGTGCTGAACTTACATATTTTCCAAGACTTTTTGGTTGAGGTTGTCCAGGTATTCTACGATTGTTGATATCATCTCGAATCCCATTATGCAGATTGAGTATGCCTCTTTGTTCAACTGTCATTTTACACTTGACTATGCTTAGTAAAACTGAATACCACACAAGAATGTCACAGGTAATACTCAGTATGGATGCTGATTTCATTATTATGGACAAAAGTTTATGAAAACACACAAAAGCGAAAATTAGCAAAGAGGCACAAATTGTTTGTTTTTTTTATTTTCAAATACTATTTATACCTGAATAACTTAGGGTGTCACCCTTGGTATTTTAGGATGATTCACTTTTTTTTTATAAAAGATACTAACATGTTTGAAATTGAAACATTCAATTTGAAAAACCAGTTAGTAACACCAATTTGTGAATGATTGAGTCCATAAGAAAGCCCTGTCTTCTCCTAAAATAACTCAGCAACCTAAGGTAGCAAAAACAACAGCTAAAAATAATCTACTGTTCATGCATCAGTGGATGTGTGATAGAAAACTCATCAACCACGCCTCACATGGTCCGGCATGCGATTTTTCGACGATGAAGCATTGCCTAAGGGGTCGATGGGTATCGACTGCATTTTTAACATGGTGAACCCTGTTGGCCATAAACTCTCAGTAGAATTCCAGGATATCTATCGTATAGCTATTGATATAAGTATAAAACTTGGGCACTGTGGTAGAGTATAACTGCATTGTGGATGAGATTTTATTTTGATATATCACACGGTGTTACACAGTAATATGAACTGATGGCGTTTCGAGCACAAACTGTTGCTCATAGTCATTTCAAGTTACTATTCTAGTCAATTCCACACATGTATATAAATGAAGGAAAAAGTTGTGTGAGTAACTTGATATGATTATGAGCAATAGTTTGTGCTCGAAACATGGTCATCAGTTAATATTACTGTATAACACTGTGTGATTTATCAAAATAAAATCTTATCCATAATGGAGTTATCCTATAGCTACTAATTTGCAATAAGATTATTATTATTGTTTCCTTTAATTCCTAGAGAAGCACAGGGCTTCAGCCAAGCGTCTTCATTGCGTTCGGTTCTCTGCCAATATTTTCACCTGCCTCCACGTCTGCCCACATGCTTTCGTCTCCTCTTCATATCACCTCTTCCATGTCACCCAAACTTCGCACTGAAGACCAACTCGCCTCTCCCTGTTCGGATTCCACTCTAGTGACGGCCTGACGTGTGATGTCACTTGATGATTTGTTTTCTCAGAGTATGGCCAATCCATCTCCATTTCTTCCTGCATATTTCTTGCACAGTTGGTTCCTGCTAGGTTGGTTCGTTCATTGCCAGAGATCCCTGTTGCTGATCTTTTCTGACCGGCCATCTGATCTTGGGTAGTATTGAGAGAAGACAGCTAGCTGTTGATGAAGGTGTGTAGTTTGTTCAAAGTGCCCTTCGTCACGCGGCGCCAAGTCTTCGACCCTTATAGTAAGTAGCACTGACTTCACATCGAAGTTGAAAATCCGGATCTTCTTTTTCATACTGAGTGGTGTTGATCTTCACACAGACTTGAGAGAAATGAAAGCTTGCCTTGCTTTCTTGATTCTTTTGATATCCTCCTCAGTTTCGCCTGTAGTAGAAACTATGCTTCCTAGGTGGGTAGGTGAAGGGGTTGCTTCTTTCAGATCTCTTCCATTTATACTCATTGTTGTCTGTTTTTGGTGCTGTTGTTGTTGCTATTGGTCAGGTATCTTCATCACCTCTGTTTTCTCTATGTTCACCTGAAGGAAGTCCTATCTTCTCTAGATGCTTCTTCTGCCACGTTGTTGCTTTTCACTTGCATATCTTCCAGTTTGTGGGAAATCGGACAAATATCATCGATGAAGTCCAGATTCTCCAAGTTTTTTGTGTAGGTCCATGTTATTTGAATGATGATTCTATAGAGGCACAGATATCTGTTACTGAAGCATCGCTAGTTTGGGTCCATTTTATGCATGTCTCCTAGTCGCCCGGCATGCTGTCTTTCGCACTATCCAGTCTACCGCAATCAGGAAAAACATTGGTGAAATACACTGATTGATTTTGTTTTAGAATACACTCAACCAAGGATAAGAAGACATTGTTTAGAATAGATTAACTTCAAGTCACACCCTTTCTATACTTTTGAGCCTTCTCTTAGTGAAATTTCAACCCAGTTGGTTTTCAAACAACTTCAGGGCGTAAAAGAGCAGATTACTAAATGAACACACCTTTATTCTGAAACAATTTATTGTTTCATATAACAGAATAGTAAAATACAGTTGTTAGAGAACATGAAACACTTTGACAACAATTTGGATTTTAGCTAGTTTCTGTCTAAATAAACTATTTGTAGATTATTTGTATTATTATAAAAACAAATATTCTCTCTTTACATTTGTGGGACTCCGTCTTCATAGTGTAACAGTTTTCTTAGCCGTATGTTTAAGAACAAATTCTATTGGAGTGAATTTAAGCACTATCTTCAAGCGACAAAAAACACACACCATGTCCTCAAGCAGAACCTAAATATGAGACGCTGTAAGGGCAATATGGACAAGAATATGTGTATGATGGAAAAGATTTATAGCTCAAGTAGATGTTTTTAGTGTGGTTGTGTTCTCTGAGCTGGATAGTTAATTTGCGTTTTTTTTGGATAAGGTTGGCTAATTTTTGTATGGGATGTGTTAATTGTTGTTCACATACATCCTAATCTTCAGCTTTCTTGGTGTATTCTTCTCTATCCATGACTACTGTTTTAACAACAGAAGACAAGGGCCAGGCAACAGATCGTTTATCAAAGAAATCAACACATATTTATAGATTTTAATGTACATATTATAGATTCTTATTAGCAGAAAAACACAGTTTTCTGATTGGTTGTTTCTCAAAGAAAGTTAACCTTGCATCTCTTTGTGGCTGTTTCTTGAATGTCAGATCATCTATATGCTAACTGTAGCCGCCTACGCAAAGTCTTTGCTCCTATTTTTTCTCACGACCCATATATGGGACATAAACCTTGACGTACATTAATGTCTACCAATTTGGCAAGCAGCCAGCTCTCACCACACTGTTGTTCTTCATTTGTCAGCTGGTATAATGACGATGTCTTTCCTATTTTTCAGCTTTTTGAGGACCGCCAGTTCTTGAGAGTTGAGTTGTGTGTGTTGTTTTTTCTGTTTGACCATTGGTACGATTGTTTGGCCTATCTCTTTCTGTGTTTCCTCGTTCAAGTTTGATGATTTGAGTACTGATTCAAAGGCAGTGAAGAAATCAGTTTCTGAAACGTCTCCAGTGTTGTAGTTCAATACTTTTTGTAGTAGTTGTTGTTCTTTTTTTGATAGTGATTGTTTTGATAGGTTGACAACGCAGTCAATAGGTGCATTGTCTGGTTGTTGTTTTCTATTCTTGGTTAGCTTGGTTTTGAGAACTCTCCGTCTTTGTCCTCTGTGTCTTCTACTTGAAAATGTAATTGCGGTGATCAGCGTTGACAGTTGTTGCTGGTTGAGGGTTTTCTCTAGTTTTTCTTTTTGGGCATCTATTATTTGTTGATATTTGTTGATCCGATAATGTGTGTCTGTAATCATCAATTTGAGCATTCATCCCCCACATTGTTCGGTCGATTTCCATCACACTGGGAAGCTGACTGGTGGTTTGCATCCGATACTGGTCGATAGGACTGGATGACGAAAGCACTCACGGAGAGAGAATAATTGTTCTCTGGTGGATCCTTGCCTTTTGGCGAAGTCTTCCCACTTTCGAACAGAAGGAAGCGTGTTCCGCTGGTAAGATTTAGATATGATAGAGAAGATTTGTAGCTCAGGTGGATGATAGTGATGTGTGTTATAACTGAAGTGAACTGACCCATCACCAATTTTTTATAAATGAAAATTGAATTGAATAAACTCCATCGCTAGTTTGTTATGTCTGCGCCTGTTAATTACTGCAAAGGTAATGAACTCGACTGCTACACTAATACGTCTATTTGTCCGTTGTACCTTCCGATTCCCTGGGCCATGCGAATATCAAAAGACGAAGGCTGACCTGTGACTGTAAAATATTGTATTATGCATCTTTTCAATAATTTAATAATTCCCATTGTAGCATTAAGAACACAATATTCAGCGAAGAGACTCTTTTCAACGAATTTATTATCAAGCTGTACAATCGTATATATTTGGTTTTTAAAAATCATATATATATATACGATTGTACAGCTTGATAATAAATTCGTTGAAAAGAATCTCTTCGCTGAATATTGTGTTATTATGTGTCTATTAGGAAGCAAACCACAATATAGTTGGCTCACAACCGTAAGAATGGACTCTTCTTATTGGCTGGAAATGTCTATGCAGATTGTTTGGTGATCCGACAAAGATCAAGGTGAGACAAAAGGGGATGAATTGGTCACGAACTAAACCACAATACGCTTGAGAAATGATACATTCACATAGTAACTCCATCACAAAATAAATCGCACGATTCGTGAGAAAGGATGATATACTATTTTATGCTGGGTCTTATCAATGTGAAGAGGAAACGCAAACACGTAAACAGTCTTGGAGATATTGGACACATTATTACAAACTGGATGTCGTTTCGAGAACGATTTAATCCTCAAAATCGCATCAATTTTTTTCACATGCCTTCATAATGTGCCACATATTCTTCCTTTCTCCTATTACCTCTTTAATCGCAATTTTCCATACATCTGGTATGGTCAGTGGATATTTTCGATAGCACGTGTTCGCTGTTGATCTGATGAACAAAGAGTCCATCATTAGTCTCACTCCGCACCTAACTCTATCACTTTCTAAAAACTTCACTCTATCTGACCCTGTTGCGTGATTATATTCAGATGAATGGATTGCAGGCGTCCAACTTTTTTCTAGGTTATTTCACCTAGCAGGATCAATCATTATATGTCTAGCTGGATTCGTATGTTCACATACCTAATCGACGTCGATCTGCTAGTTTGAATGACTCCCTTAACCTTACAGTCAGTACATGATAAATTATATTACTGTTTGTAACTGGATCTGTAGGTATCTTAAGCCGACAAAGTTTATCTCTGAGAGGTTTGGTCGATTGGTTTAAATGCCACCCGAATTCTAGACTTCATAAGAGAGAAGTATGTATATTAAAACAATTAGTCCCTTTGATAAATCTGAATAAGGCATTTAGAAGACAAATTTTGCGAGATGATATCTTCATTTCGTAGTTTCTTTACAACCGCTTTACAACTAACATGGTTAAAAATAATAAAATAAAGTTCATGAAAATTACTCAGTCACCTGCAGCTGCAGTGATACATATACAGGTAGAAGTAATAGAATGTTCCAATGTCGTCGAAAAGAACATGTTCCCAAATGGCTGCTAAATCATATAAAAAATCACAACGCGAGTAATCTAGTAGAAATCGAGCATTATCCATTACAAAACACTTATTAATGTCGGGTCACAAAATCAGTATTAATGACTGTTTCACAATTATTTCACATAACTCTAATTCAAAGTTATTGAAGATGGTGGAAGCACTTTAGATTTATCACATACAGCCTAAACTGTGCGTACGAAAAACAACAGACTTCAATCTTCGCCTACCATGGACTACATGACCTATCTAAATATGATTGGTCATCAGTATGTACTTTTGTTTTTCATTTAACTGAGTAATTGTCAAGGTCTTTATTTTCTTATTGTTAACCATGTTAGTTGTAAAGCGGTTGTAAAGAAACTACGAAATGAAGATATCATCTCGCAAAATTTGTCTTCTAAATGCCTTATTCAAATATGTATATAGCAAGTTATGAAGCCGTGTAAACAAAGCGATATGATTATGAGCAGTAAATTGTGCTCGAAGCGCCATCCAGTTATTAGAACTGTAACTCTGTGTTATTATCAAATTAGCGAACATAGCTGATACTTTTGTATTTAGTAACCAACATCTATTCAATTTCTACTTACTACTTAATATGATACAAGTAGTATAAGAGTGAAGTCAACCATATTTTAAGTTTCGTCTGCATTTTTTTCTTGTGTATCATTGAAGTCTATTATTTTTCCGCTCAAATTTCCTACAGCTATTAATTATATCAAAAGAAGGTGTAAATCTGAAAAGCAATTTTTCTAACAAGCAGCTAAGTTGCTCTGATGATTGAGTTATTTTTTCAGTTACAGAGTGATACCATAAATTCAGCTAAATAAATCTTTTGTGTCGGTATCCTGTATCTATATTTGTATTTGGTTAGCACAGTGAACCCAGATCAGTACAACAAGTAGTTGTTGATAACACGACTAGTACGCATTTCCTAGTCCACCAAAATCTATTGTGTGCCTATGGTCTCAAACTACCACAAATCACATAAAACCCTCCAAAAGAACTCAGAAGTCAATGCAACCTGTTGCGTCTGCTATGAGTATGTTATTATTTTTATTTTATTTTGATTACAGCTTAATGCCACACCGTATTTTCAGTACAAGTATGGGATTTTCAGCATGGATATCAGTAGCCCAAATTTTGCAGGGCGACCATAGATATCAGGTGTGCGTCGGTAGGGGACCGAACCCCGGACCATGTGCATGGTCGGCGAGAGTCCTAACTGCTGTGCCACCGACGCTTAGCTTTCCTGCAATACAGCTGTATTTCCTCTAGATGAAAACACTACATCAAGTGCAAAATGTTCATGTTTCCAGTTGATGGAGACTGACTAAGCGTAGACGTATGGTAGCTGAAGTTGTCACACACCGTGTAGGTGGCCTCCGTCGTCAAAAGTCAAAACTGTTCCTAAGAAAACTCTCTTCATGAACCTGGAATTCAAAGGTGAAATTCAAAGCAGAAATTCTTAGAAACCGCCTTTCTAAATGTATGAAGTAGACATTCCAAGCAGCCACCTTACGTATCACATTCTCCAGCAGACAGTTAATCCAGTCTTACTTTAAGAATCGGATACCACTTTTGTCCACTTCAATGTGTATTTATCAATTTACTTGCTCGTGTGGAGCAAAGTATATCTGCCGTACGCAACGTCAAGTCCACAAACGTATTCCTGAACAATGTCCAGCTTGGTTAGTCAGAGAAGAAAAGAAGAACAGCAGCAAATTCATTCTCTAACACATTTTCATCTTTGAGCATCGAGCATCCCCGCTTTCATGAATGTTTCACAGTGCTACACAGAGTCCCTCACTATCGCGTGATAAGACTTCGATACGCCATCTGTATATAGCTGAATCATTGGCTATTTGGGATGTGACCTCTTCATTCAAAAGTGCTAGATACATTCACTCACCTTATCGTGGCCAGAGTAACGTCCTTACTATAATTTAGATTCTTTTTATCATGTAATTTTACTATTATTTTGTTATTAATATTCCCATCATCCATATTTTATTATCACTCTATTACTGTTTATTGATAATATCGCGTTTTCATACAAATTTTATACAAAAACACTTTATTATCTTTCCACTAGTTCCTGTCCATTCGACACAATTTTATTGATTAGTCATTACCTCACACTTATTACGTCATGTCAACGTCTACCTCTTTCCTAACTTACAATTAATCACTCCATCTAGGTTACACCTTACATTACGCCTAATACGTTTTTCGAGGACAAATGTTACTTGTATCTCATTGGTCATCTTATGAATTCTTTTTTGAATATAATTACTATTGCACGGCAGCTTATGAAAATGAATCGTCGACAAGAAACTTTTCTTCTCTGTATACGTCGTTTTCTCATGACTCAATATGGGAATATTTTGTTCATTGAACGACATGGGACACCACAAAGGATGTAAGCATCTGCAACACTAAGGGCGATTTCGACCCATATTATCAAGTCTCCAGTCCTTGGTTCATGCAGCATGCTGACGAACCCAACCAGGCAGTCTACACCTCCAAAAACCTGACTAAAACACTTCATGATCTGACATGGGGTTTTAATATAACCATGCTTAACTCTTTTCCAACTTGATCATATATCAGCTAACATAGCTCGACCAAGACAGTGACGGCTGAGCGTATGTAACGAATGTCGTAGCCATCTCCTCAATTGATGTAGATGCACAGCCTGTCTACCTAACACTACATCTAACCCCTATATTTGTCACTATGTCATACAGCTTAACGGGGGACAGAGAGTACACAAACAACTAGCCAATTCAAGTTTTAGGTACTGATCCTACGTGCTTCAAGTGCAAATAATTACTGCTTTCCCGGCTTTTAACTCAAACGATGTTTTCAAGTATCTCAAATACCAGAAACCTACCCAGTCCCTTTTCCAGATGGTATATCAGCTACTATGATTAATAGTTGTACTGATATTTTGCCAACATTTCACTGGTTTTTTTCAACTAATCAATTTCCAGTAACGCTGTGACTTCTTCTTGGAAAGACATTAAAATTGCAGACTTTTATCAACAGCTGCCTCCTTCGCTGGCTGCCTCCACACTGAAGATCACATGGCTAGCCAGAAAGAATGAGCAACAAAAATCTATTTGAAAAAACCAACAGGCAAGAGCCGATCGCCCGACAAATATGTAGGAGAAAGTGGAGATGGATGGATGGATCGGGCATACATTGAGAAGGCCGCCGAATGACATCGCACACCAGGCCACCACTCGAGTGAAGCCAAATGGGAAGCGATGAGTAGGTCGTCGGTGCGAGGGTGACATGGAGGACATCGTGTGAGGAAGAGACGAGAGAGTTTGGTCAATCGTGGACCCAGATGAAGAGGACGGCAAAAAACAGAACAAAGTGGAGACAGAGTGCTGTTGTACTCCGAACGTAAGCGAATAATAATAATAGTGATAATAATACACCAAAAGAAATCGAAAAAGAGCAAATATCGATTTTTACTACATTAATTATTATTATTATTATCTCTTATTAAGTAAAATGACGTAATTCCTTAGAGGGACAAAATAAGATGAGATGAAATGAGCTGAGCAAACGATTAATTTCAATAAAAATCATTATAACAATAATAATAATAATTTTTAAAAAAAATCTAATAAATATGTACAAATAATCTCATCCATTCTAGAAGAGTAACAAACAAAGCAGAGATGAGTGTCAAATTAAAATCGTTAAGCAAGCAAGCAAGTTACAAGAAGAGAGTTAGTTAGTTAGTTGTTGTTTTGTTATTTGTGTTTCTTGTTTTCTTTTGGTATACCTTAACAACCAACACCCTGGAAGGAATGGAACATCATGCAAACATATACAGAAAGAGAATAAAACATCATTGATAGAATGTACACACACACACACACACACAAACAAATATGAGTTATCCAAAACATATGAATGAACGGATTTCAGCGACAAACAAATGAAATCGTTGTTGAAAATCTGATCTAGCTGAACGAGTTGGTTTATTCTCGGTGAAACATGCTATGTACTTGTTGGCATTGTTATTATTATTAATATTATTGTTACTAAGTATGTGATCAGGAGACTTTGATTGGTCGACTTGGCCTTCATCTTCACCAGTTTTACAACTACCGCCTAAATGTTCAAAAGCATCGCTTAAACGAGATTGGATAACTGGATTGCCACATTCACTAATCCATTGATGAATAAGTTGTGAGTAGGCAGTCTGAAACCAAAAAAAAAAAAATTGAAATGACTTATTATTAAAATGAAACGAAATCTATTAAGTAAGAAAAACTTTTCAACTGCTCCTGTGGGCGCAGGATTAGACAGGTTCATCTAAGGGTTTGAGAACATTTCCCAGCTTGGTTGGTCCAGCAGGGGGGAATAAAGTGCATAAAGAGCTCCATCCTGTCATACTTGGTCGATACTGGACATAACATCGACGTCAACACAGCTTTCTGGGTTATATACCGAATTCCAAAGTCGTTATCACGCACAGTTCGCTTATGTCTGCTACACATAGCTCAAGCTGTTGCAATAAGATCGACGAGACCGGCGGTAGAATGGTCACCGCCAACCACGCCTCATGTGGTCCGGGGTTCGATCCCCGGCCACCAACGCACTCTTTTTTTACTTCGATAAGCCAGTAATAAAACTGGTAAAGAGGGAAGGTTGGGCCAGGTGAGGCTAGCAACCCCATCCCGTAAAAGTAAACACCACTGCTACAGAAACTTGAAACCCCTAGCTTGAAGCCCTATGTTCCACTGGGAACGTAAAGGAATCAGAAAAAATCTAAAAATGCTTTGAATACTGTATTATTTTCTTTGTCATTTTCACTGCAAATCTTATTTTTATTGTTGGTCCGCATACATTTTTGAATCAATTCTGGTGATTAAAATTTTCTTAATTTATCTGATTTCATTATTTAAATCCCTGCTGATAGACTTACTAGTTAGGTTCCTTCCTGGACGACTGATTATATAGACATACATATGACTAAACCCACCTATCTTCACCGATTCTGGATGGGACTAGTTATCGTCTGAGTATTCTGCATTAGAGTGTGACTCGATTTCCTAAAAATGCTAGAAATATTTGACCCATCATCTTGTTTTCTTTTTTATTCTACAGTCTACCATGGCCAAGGCACCTTGTTCATCCTAATGTATGCGTAAAACTTGGTCACTGTGTCAGCAAGTGATTCCATATTAGTTTGTTTATTAGATATATCACACAGTGACTGTAACAGTATTATTTACTGGATGACACAGTTTCCAACAAAATTTATTGTTCATAATCATATCGCCAATTATAATCACACGACTTCGAAACTTCAGTTTTATAGTTTTCTTTATTCCTTCCCTTATTTGTTGTAGGGGTATTTAAATTTTCCAGACATCTGGAATAGGGTGCAGTCAGACTTGCGGAGCACAGGAACCTAACAAAATCCAGCTTAGTTGACCCGAATATGGTAAGAAACCTAGAGAATAGTTCGGCTATAGCACTGCATGCAGTCACACACAACCACACAATAGGCTGGATGGGATAGGATGACAGTTTTAAAAACTAATGTCACAGGGTAGAGGGAGAGATTGATAACAGAAGCTTTTTTTATTGAAGCAACTGCAAATACATTTAACAGGAATGATTCATCACCTGTCTACGCAGAATTCTGGACAACTCTACTACCCCTACGACGACAAATAGGAGAGAATAAAGAAAACTATAAAACTCAAGTTTCGAAGTCGTGTGATTATAATTGGCGATATGATTATGAACAATAATAAATTTTGTTCGAAACTGTATCATCCGGTAAATAATACTGTTTCACTGACTGTGTGATATATCTAATAAACAAACTAATATGGAATCAACTTTGTTCATCGCATTCTGACTCAGAAATGTGAATCAATTTCCATCTACCAATGAGTTTTTATGTACAAAGAACTGAGGGATATGTGCATGCAGGTTTCAACAAAATTCATAGCTAGACATTTGAGCTTAGCGCACAAATGGTGATTCGATTGAATCTTTTAAAGAATATCAAAATCGCACCACGCTAAAGTGTTATGAGTCATCGAAACATCAACAACGAAAATACGTATACACCTACCGGATTAATATGAATTAGATTAAGCAGTGCTGATGAAAATGCAGCTTCCAAGCTAACTGAATAACTTTCACGTGTTAGTAAGTTGAACAGATCAGAGAGAAATTGTGTATCCAAACCAATAATACTGATGATACGCAGAGCAGCTTGCAATTCTTCTGTCATACACAGTTGAGTACGCGTTCTAACCTCCAAGAAATGATCCGTGAATGAAATCACAATCTCTAGACACTGTTGTATCACTAAATTATCTACACATCCTGCTGGAGCAGACGAGGATAATCCTGATGATGATGACGATCCAACTGTTGTAGATGAAGGTTTCACTTGCCTAGATGAATGGATAATATTCTCACCGAATATTCCAAATCGTAAAAGACGTCCGAAACATGAAAGTTGGTGATCTGTAAGCCCAACGAAACCTTGAGCACGTAATTCACATGTGTACGACGCTAGGGAATAAAATGCTTGACATAATTCTGGGATCTTGAAGAAAATAAAAATAATCAATAAGAATAAAATTAATAAATCTGAAGCTTACGTCACACGCAAAAAGAAAGAAGGATATCTGAAGTCATCATACAAAATGTCTTACAAATTATATTCTCACTCAGCTAATGACCTACAACAAAGTTGGTGGTATGAGACCACTGAAACTTATTTCCAAATAAAATAAGAACGAGTACAAATCTAGCTGAAGACACAGCGAAGACAGGTTTATCTGTCTGTCTGTCTGTTTTCGACATAGAACTTTGCACTGATGTGCGGCAGTTCAAGTCGCCACACTCCATATAGCACACAAAGGAAGAGAAGAAAGTAGGAAAAATGCATATTAGAGACAGTAAACAGAGGTGTGAGACAAGGAAATAGTAATAAAAAAGAACAATATAGTTTCATTGGAAATCATAAGTCACAAGGAGTGGATGCATCTGCGCGAGCCATTGAGAGCGATTTTGAGCCATGTCACCAATTGTTTCCAACCATTGGTTTTCACCGTCCCGAGGACCCCAACCAGGTTGTGGATTTCATTGACTGGTGCCATGTCTTCGTTTGACCGCCGTTAGCTCTTTTCCAGCCTGACCCTATGTCAGCTAACATTGCCCTCGGGGAACCCGATGACTGGGCATACGTAACACATGTCCCAACCATCTCAGTCAATGTAATTTCACAGCCTCGTCTATTTGATTTCCCCTCCTTACCTAGCACTCGACGCCTAGCCTCAATATTGCTCACCTTATTATACCACTTAACACGGGAGATAGAGCGCAGGCATCTATGATCAAAGACGGCTAATCTTTTCATATCTTCCACTCTCATTGGCCAGGTCTCACCGCCATTTAAGAAGACGGAGCGGACTGACGAACAGTACACCCGCCCTTTGGTCGATGGTCGGATATCACGTCTAAGCCAGAGATGGCGTAAACTGGCATATGCGAAAAGAGCCTTCTGTATTCGTGCTGAGATTTCGTCAGAGATCAACCCGTTGGCGGTCAACGTGCTCTACCACTTCACTTCATATTTCTAATCTAGGAAGTGAAGTGGTAGAAGCGAAGACAGGACTCCGAGTGAACATGGAGAAGACAGAGGTGATGAAGATAACCCACCAATCAACTAACAACAACAACAACAACCAGAACCCATTACTGTCACAACAGGAGCAATTTTGAAGAGTTTACTTCCTTCACTTATATAGGAGGTACTGTTTCAACTACAGGCAGTCACCACGGATGAAGATGTTAAAGCTGATCAGGATCGGAAAGGCAAAGTACACCTTGATCAATCGGAAATCGTTTCGGAAGCCTTCTGCATTCAGTTAAAAAAAAGAACAAAAAATTCGGATTTCCGACACCGATTTCAAGTCAGTTAGTACTTTTATATGGGTGAGAAACTTGGTCAGTGCGTCACGAAAAGCATTTCCAACATTGGCTACTATAGACTTTGATCAACAGCTGCCAACTTCGATGACTCAATATTGAAGATCAAATAGCCAGAAAGAATTAACAACAATGGATTCTGGGAACAAACCAACGAAGAAAACAGAGATGGATTGGATATATGCTGAGGAAACCATCGGGTGACATCGCCTGCCAGGCAACCGCTCGATTACAACCCATATGAGAAATGATGAGTGAGGAGTCCGAGGGTGAGACATGGAGCAGGAGGAGGAAGAGATGAGAGACTATGGGCAGCCATGCGAACACCTAAAGGGGACCGCAGAAAACAGAACAAGGCGGAAATATACTGTTGAACCCTCATTTCTCAATCGGAGCCCAAGGGAACGGTAATAATAATAATAGGCAAATGTCAAATAAGAATAAGGGTGGCATCACAGGACACCAAGGAAGATATAGTACGCATAAATAAATAAGTTTACGCCGTCTCTGGCGTAGACGCGATATCCGACTATCGATCAAAGGGCGTGTGTACTACTCAACAGTCCGCTCCGTCCTCCTTTATGGCTGTGAGCGAGACCTGGCCATTGAGAGCGGAAGACATGAAAAGATTAGCTGTCTTCGATCATAGGTGTCTGCGTTCCATCTCCCGCGTGAAGTGGTATAATAAGGTGAGCAATATTGAGGTTAGGCATCGGTCGAGTGCTAGGTAAGGCGGGGAAATCAATCGATGAGACTGTGAAATTACATCGACTGAGATGGTTGGGACATGTGTAACGTATGCCTAGTCATCGCCTTCCTCGACAATGGGCAATGTTAGCTGATATAGGGTCAGGCTGGAAAAGAGCTAACGGCGGTCAAACCGAAAAATGGCACCAGTCAATGAAATCTACAACAGTTAGTCTAAGTCACGTAGGGAGATGTAGACTTCCTGGTTGGGGTCCTCGAGACGGTAAAAACCAATGGTTGGAAACAATTGGTGACATGGCTCAAAATCGTTCTCAGTGGCGCAGATGCATCCACTCCTTGTGACTCATGATTTCCAATGAAACTGTTTTGTTCACCGTTATTACTACTCCTTTGTCTCACACCTCTGTTTACTGTTTATATATTATGCATTTCTCCTACTTTCTTCTCTTCCTTTGTGTGCTATATGGAGTGTGGCGACTTGAACTGCCGCACATCAGTGCAAAGTTCTATGTCGAAAACAGACAGACAGACAGACGGTCAACTGCCCAGCTATGACAAAGAGAGAAAAATGGTAACAGCCAAGTTGTTACGTTGATCCCACTTCGTTACGAGGTTAAAAGGTCTATTCATCAAATGAAATTCATTAACTCCTCTTATCCAGCCAGAAACTGTGTCAAGTATAATATATTCGAAACTACCACTGCCTTACTAGGCAACATCTTCAGCGAATACTTCACTTCTCCGGATAACCTCGAAAGTGATTGGTTGCTTTTGTCTGTTTTCACACCATCTTGTCTACTTGTATTGGTGTAACGACAGAAGACAAGGGCCGGGAAACAGATTGTTTATTGAGAAAAACAACAGATATTTATAGCTTTTTATGTGAATTATGATTAGCGCTATTGTTAGCAGAGAAGCAACATCTTCTCATAGATTGTTGTCTTGTTGATGGTTATTCTGTACTGCTTGTGACCGACCGTTTCTTATAAAGTAAGGCCATATATCTACGAATCCTATTTGTACACATTAACTCCGCTGTGATTGGTTGGTGAGTTCCTCAGGATTAAGTTTTGTTATTGCTTCTTCTCATGGCCCCGATTCGGCATGGAAACATTGACGTAAATTGTTGTCTACAATTTTGGCTAGCAGACAGCTCTCACCACATTGGTATTGTGATTCTTTCCTTGACCTGACCTAATAACATATTTCCAATTCAACGGTCAAATATACAGGAAGAGAATAAAAAAGGGAAACCTATGGGATATCAGGCCTGATTGGAGAAGCTATGCTGCAAAGATTTGAAAACATAATCCTACCGAAGATTAGACCCTAAATTTGGACACGTTATGTGGATGACACATTCATGACAATCGAAGGCGACGACTTAAACAAAACTCACAAATTAACAAACAACATCTTCAACGACAACAAATTCACAAGAGAAAAGGAATTCGAAGAACAAAATTCCATTTTTTGGACGTCTTAGTCAAGCAAACAACCACAGGGGAATTCGAAACTCATGTTTATAGAAAACCAACTCACACGGACAAAATGCTCAATTACAAAAAGAAACAACCCAATAAACAGCACACAAAAAGAGTTGCATATAAACATTATTCAATAGAGCCAGGAGTCATTGCAGCACTCCCACCTTAAGGAAAATTGAAGAAAGATATCTCATGGATATCTTCGAAAAGAATGCATATCCACGGAACTTTATCAAAAGACATCTACCACCAACCCATCTGCCTAAACAAATCAAAGTCCAACAGGGAAAGCAGAAAGAAAATCGTCTTACCATATATGTATAAAGAACGTCTAAGAAATCACTGCAAGACTTTTCAAACCTTCAAGAATTGATGTTGTACACAAACCAACAAAACCACTTCACTCAGATGGCTCTGCATCAACCAGAAGACTCAACAGCGAAAGAAGATAAAACCAACATCATGTACAAAATAAATTGCAACGACTGCGAGAAACACTACATTGGAGAAAATGAACATAAACTAGCCATCAAAAGATATGACATCTACTCCCTCGCTCATATCACTGCATACTGACCAACCGCAGATATCAGTTCGACTGGGACAACTTCCAAATGTCAGATAGAGGAAACGTCAAGAATGCTACAGAATTTTTAGAAGCCCAGTATTCAACTGAATTGGCATTAAACAGACGCACATTAACACAGTTAAGATTTACCAATCCATAAGAAGTAAATTTTACAAACAATTAGTCAAACTTCAGGTCAAGGAAACAATTACAATACCAATATAGGTAGACTTATTATTATTGTTTCCTTTAATTCCTAAAGGAACATAGGGCTTCACCCGTGCGTCTCCATTGCGTTCGGTTCTCTGCTAGAGTCTTCACCTGCCCATACGCTTTCATCTCCTCTTTACATCACCTCCTCCAAGTCACCCTTGCACTGACGATCAACTCGCCGCTTCCCTTTCGGGTTCCACGCGAGCAATGGCTTGTCTAGTGATGTCACTTGATGCATTGTTTCCTCAGAGTATGGCCAGCCAATCCATCTCCATTTCTTCCTGCCTATTTGTTTCACAATCGGTTCCTGCTGTGTTGGTTCGCTCATTGCCAGAGATCTCTGTTGCTGATCTTTTCCAGCCAGCCATCTGATCTTGAGTGGTATTGAGCGAAGACAACTGTTAATGAAGGTCTGTAGTCTGTTTGAGATGCTCTTTATGACGCGCCAAGTCTCTGATACATAAAGTAAGCAGCACGGACTTCATATTGGAGTTGAAAATCCGAATCTTATTTTTGATACTGAGTGTTGTTGACCTCCACACAGACTTGAGAGTAATGAAAGCTTGTCTTGCTTTTCCGATTCTTGCTTTGATATCCTCATCAGTTCTGTCCGCCTGTAGTTGAAACGATGCGTCCCAGGTTGGTAAAAGAGGTTGTTTCTTTCAGGTTCCTCCCATTTATGCTGATTGTTGTCTGTTGTTGTTGCTGTTGGTGGTGTTGCACAGGAATCTTCATCACTTCTGTTTTCTCTATGTTCACCTGAAGGAAGTCCTATCTTCTCTGGATGCTTCTTCTGCCAACTTGTTGCTTTTCGCTTGCATATCTTCCAGTTTGTGGGACATCGGACATATATCATCGGCGAAGTCCAGATCCTCCAAGTGTTTTGTGTGGGTCCATTTTATGCCTGTTTCCTCATTGCCCACTGTTTGTCGCATTATCCAGTCTACTGCAATCAGGAAAATCATTGGCGATAGTAGGCAGCCTTGTCTTAGAGGGTGTGAAAACATACAAAAACAACCAATCACGTTGAAGGTTACCAGGAGATGACTAATAAACTCGTGGAGAAACTTAACATCTCACTTCAACGAATTGAAGTAGGCGCTAAAGATGTTGCCTAGTAAGGGGTATAGTGAAAGCTTCGCAAATAAACCATTCAAGCTCAGACAACACAATTACATCATCTCCATTATATCTATAATATATTCGAAAGTGATTAGGAACAACTTACAGCTAATATAGATTCCGTGATAAGTGGTAATAAATGCCCTAGACCAATTACTGCTGCATCAATTGTCGGCACAGAATTCCCAGTTACCTCTTCAGCACTATCAGAATTCGGTTGGACAAGAAACTTATCATTGACACCACCACCGGATACCACCACGTAGATAGCTCCGCTTAATTTCAATTCAAATTCATGATAAAGTACACGATTTAAAAGATTTAAGAGAAGGCGAAGTTCTTGAATTTGATCATCTTCAGCAGTTGCATCGAAATTCAGTTTACCTGTAATCATTAGATGAACAGAGTACACAGGTGTAAGGGATCAATTAATCAATAAATTTAATAATCAATGAAGCAAAACTTCACATACATAAAAAAAAGACATTCAGCGAAGAGACTCTTTTCGGCGAATTCATTCACATAGCTGTACAATCGCATTTATATATAATTGTTTGTGTGTATGTGTATGTGTACATGAGGTTTGTCAAGTTCAGATAATTAATCAGGTAATACAAGAATGATGTAGTATAGAGACAAAGTTAATCGGACAGCAACTAAAGTAAGATTGAGTTAGTAAGCTAGATGACGTAATATAATTGACTAAAATGTTACAACTTAGGTCAGGATAGCAACAGAGGTAATTACAGGTGGAGATTAAGTAGAAGTGAAATTGAGTGAATAAGTTGGATGACGTAACATAAATGACTAGAAACTGAGCGATGTTCAAGTCAGTAACAGTGGTAGTGAGGTGAAGAAATTGAATCGGGTGGGGGTAGAGGACAAGAAAGTTGAAAATGTAAAATGTTACAATTGAGAAGGCAAAATAATACTAATGAAGAGACAGAAGAAAAGATTAGGTAGAATTTACTTGTCGGCTAATAAGATAGATTACGTCCATTGTAAGTGTAGTGATTGAACGAACTTCTTCTGTATGCGAAGTTCAGGACTTAGCAAGTGATTAACTTTGTCATTCTTGTATTACCTGATTAATTATCCGAACTTGACAAACCTCATGTACACACACACACAAATAATTATATATACTTTACTTTACTTTACTTCGGCTATCTCCTACGGGAGGATGAGGCGGCTTCATGAACATCTCGAATCATCGCTGCCCAGGCGCGGCGATCTGATGCAAGAGAGTCCATGAAGTTTCATGGGAATTTGGTACGAGTGATGTCCCCAGAATCGCTCGGCCTTTTGTTTGAGAGTGCAGCTCTAGCCTTTACACAACCAAGTGTGACCTACAAGGCAGTAGGAGTGGAGTAGGGAGTCCACTATCCATTGGCAGCCGGTGACCGGAGTTCGGTTCATACGCCTTTTTCAATGGGGCCAGACATCCAGGACATCCAACAATCCCTTTGTCCATACGTCTGCCGGTGAGCTCCAGTGAGCTTCATACGCCAGTCGTTGGAGGTTTGGAATCAGGGTTTAGCCATCTCCCCTAGACTGTCATCCAATGAACAGTCAACCCGGTGAAGAGCGCCGTGCATCCGCTTTCGCCCTCTCACTTTTGGTGAAAAACACCTCCGCCACGTGAAGGCAGTGAGTAGGACTTCCTCAGGAGAGGCTATGTAAGACGCCCGGTCATATGGGAGCATTTCAAGAGGTGTGAGGAGGGGTGGCCAACCCTCAGCGCAAGGCACCTACCCCCGACCATCCTGAGGCTTTGGAGGCGATTGTAGAGCTATGTGAATGAATTCGCCAAAAAGAGTCTCTTCGCTGAATGTCTTCTCTTTTTCATAAAAAAATAAGTTAAGTATTGGTTTGCAGGGATTTTAATTGATTACAGAATTGATCGCAAACGGAAGGTCTAGGGTTCGAACCCCTGTGGGTATATACTACCGGAGAGAACCAAACTAGGACGAAACAGTTAGTTGTCCAGTACTCCAAAGTTAGTTTTCCCCAATGGTTCTCATTAGGAAATCCTGTAACCAATCAAATCCTTGCAAACTAAATCCTAATGGTGCCCGAAAAGCTCACCTTCTGTGTTTTTAGCATAATGCTTGCACAGGATAACAATCCAGTTGAGAAATGCGCTAGATACACACACAACACCATTGCCGTTGTTCCCGCCATTCATGGATTTATCTCCTTGCAACAATGATGATGATGATGACAAGGGATCATCAGTTGAAGTTGATGACAATGGTGACGAGGATGGTAGATTAGCCAAGTATATTAAACAGGAATCAGCGACATCAGCGAATAATGAGAATAAAGCTTGTACAGCTTCGGAATAATTATGACATTTCTAAAAGCAAATAGAAGAAGAAGAAAAAGTTTTGATAATATTACGAGAAATGTCTTTCAGACAAAACAAATTCTGTGTACAACTGCTATGGTAACATTTGAAAAAGAAAAAAACAAATTTATCAAGGAAATATACTTTATATATATCCAAACCAAGTTCACTTTAAGGAGTTTGAAAAAATGTGGGCATTGGGTATATGATATTCATTATGATAAAGGTTTTTGTATTTCCCAATATGACTCTACACTAATATTTTGGTTGGAGAATTTCATCATGAACTGACATCAGTTAAAGAATCATTGGAGAACCTGAGAGTACTGGACAAGTTACAAGGCGAGCTTGTAGACCAGTACTCTCTCAGGTTTTTCGAATGGTTCTCTAACTGATGTCAGCTCAGGATGAAATCCTCTAACCAATCAAACTAAATCCCTACGAAAACCGGTACTTGAAAATTAATCTGATGCTCACTAGCGACTGGCCCTATTCAGGCAGTGACCTGGGGTTCTAGTGGAAAGCTGTGACCAGTAGAGTGCAGCAGATTGAAGGTGAGACAGTAACTCATGGAAGAAGATATTGCGAAGTAGTCACTCTATGTGATGAATTGGCAGAAGTTAAAATTCATGGGCTAGCCTTGTAACCAGAAGGTCCTGGGTTCGAACCCTGTCGGTAGGTGTGTACTGATGAATTGTCGAAGCATCTGCACAAGAAGCCGACCTGTCAACTTGAGACCAAGCCCTTCGATCCAATCAATCGACGGGAAAATATGAAATTGAATTAAATCACTAATATGAACCGTTGCAAAAGAGGTGGTTCTGGTGGCCCAAGCGGTCTAGTGGATAACGCTTCTTGCGTTCAAAACTATGGGCACTGGGGTTTGAGCCTCGGTGGGAACACTATCACTCACTGAGGAACGCAGTACATCCAGCTGGCGGACGAGTGCCAAATAGGAAAAAATGCGCATCCTGGGTTCCACTGCTAGTTACCATCCACCAATTAACTTCTGAAGAACCATGTGTTGTTTTAAAAATAAAAATATAAAAATTCACAATATATAATCTTACCAAAACTAAATAACTTGCACTACTTGAAAGGAATGGAGCTAAAAGACCATTCCAAACTAAAGAAATCAAGTCTGTAACAGATTCACTACTCGATGCCACTGTTCCTGTTGCACGTGATACACCTCGTAGAACTGTAGTACAATTAACTAATACATCAATAGCCACAGCATTTTGAACTGAACCAAATGTAACACCATCTGCTGAGAGAATATTGACTACACGAAGAACTTGTTGTCGAATTTCACGAAGTAACTATAAAGGTTATGCAAATAAGAAAGACAAAATGCTAAGTTTTAGTTTACATCGAGTCTATGTTTAAAACGGTAATTTAGTGAATTTACACCTTAACAGACAGAATAAATGAATAACAGAATAACAACTTGTAACTGGTAGTATGCAGATAGGTAGTTACCACCTAGGAATTCGTAACCTGTGGAATACAACAAGTGGTCGGTTGTGAGGACAAATTCTCGCCACAGATGACATTGGCTAGTCATTAGGCTTTATCGTATGTGAATTGGCAGAAGCTGGAATTCACGCACTGGCTATTAGATCGGGTCCGAGCGACTAAATGGTCTACAAGCTCACTTTGTGACCGGAATGTCCTAGTTTCGCACTTGCCAGTTTACGCCGACTCTGGCGTAGACGTGATATCCGGCCATCGACCAAAAGGCGGGTGTACTGCTCATCAGTCCGCTCCGTCCTCCTTTATGGCTGTGAAACCTGGCAGTGGAAGACATGAAAAGATTAGCTGTCTTCGATCATAGGTGTCTGCGTTCTATCTCCCTCGTGAAGTGGTATAATAAGGTGAGCGATATTCAGGTTAGGCATCGGTCGAGTGCTAGGTAAGAAGGGGAAATCAATCGACGAAACTGTGAAATTACATCGACTGAGATGGTTAGGACATGTGCTACGTATGCCTAGTCATTGCCTTCCTCGATGGGCAATGTTAGCTGATATAGGGTCAGGCTGGAAAAGAGCTAGTGGCGGTCAAACCAAAACATGGCACCAGTCAATGAAATCCACAACAGTTGGTCTAAGCCACGTAGGAAGGTGTAGACTTCCTGGTTGGGGTCTTCGGGACGGTGAAAACCAATGGTTGGAAACAATTGGTGACATGGCTCAAAGTGATCGTTCTCAGTGGCTAACGCAGATGCATCCACTCCCTGTGACTTATGATTTCCAATGAAACTATATTGTTCTTCGTTACTACTATTCCTTTGTCTCAAACCTCTGTTTACTGTCTCTAATATGCATTTCTCCTACTTTCTTCTCTTGCTTTGTGTGCTACATGAAGGGAGTGTGGCGACTTGAACTGCCGCACATCGGTGCAAAGTTCTGTGTCGAAAACAGACAGACAGACAGGAACATCCTAGGTTCAAACCCCAGTACTGATGCAAAGTCCCAGACTAGGACAAAACAGCTGGCTGGTCAGTTCTCTTTCACTGGTTTTCCAATGGTTCTCTAACCAACGTCAGCTCATCATGATGAAATCCTGTAACCCGATCAATTCAAATCCCTGGAAACTAACACTTGAAGAACAGGAGACGATATCAAGATGCGCCGTTTTCTAGCTGAAATCATGGGACTTAATCAATACGATGGCGGACCAATAACTGAGAGAAACAGACAACGACATAGAAAAAAATATCCCCAAAGCAATATATAATACAAGGTTAAAAAAACATACCTGCAGTAACAAGGTGTCCATTTCTTCACAAGTTTGATTGTGGGATAATGCTGAAGAAAGACGAGCTTTATCAATTGCCCAACTACCACATAAGCAGGCTTCAACTAACTGGATAAGACTGTCTGCTGGTAGATTAGGCCATGTTTGTTCTGAAGCCTGAGGGCCACAGACAATCGTGCATAATTCATACCATGCTGAACAGGCTAAGGTTGATGATCTATTAAAGAAAACATGAATGTCAGTTTAACATTAAAATATTCGAATATAATTAAACTACATTGAAGGTAATAATAGCGTCACCTGGGAAACCACTATAAACAAACGATCAACGGTCAACTGAACTGAGACGCTACAAAGCACTAATCAAGGCACTCTGCTTGAACTCATGTGGAGCCAGGTAAGAGCCTACGGAGAGTTGTCATCTGACAACTGTGACGACAACCAGCGCTTTCCGTTAAGGATGCCTATTGTCTCCACTTCTGCTTAATTTCATCATAGATGTACTAATAGACTTAACCCTAACTGACACCAGTAACTCACAGATTGACTGACTTGTTACCACCAGGGAATAATCTTGTTGAATTAGAATATGCAGATGATATAGTACTCCCCCATAGGTGAGGTGAAGACGCTGACAAAATGCAGATTCTTCTGAACACCTTGAACTGAGCAGAAATCTGCGAATTTTTGGCATGCGATTCACTCCTGCTGTCAAATGCAAGGTTGTGTTACAGGACTGGGTTGAACCAACTCACTCCTAGATTAAAGATAGGGAGTGAAGTAGTAGAGCGTGTTGACCAGCACTGATACAAAAGGCTAGTGTGGTATTCGCCAACCTCCATCATCTCTGGTGTAGATGTGATATCCCGTTGGCTATAGATCAAAGGACATGTGTGCCGCTCAGCGATTCGCTTAATCCTCCCTTATGAGTCTGAGACATGATCAATAAAAGTAGAAGACATGAAAAGTCTAACTGTCTTTGTTCGTAGGTGTCTGAGTTCTATCTACCGTGTGAAGTGGTATAATAGTGTGAGCAAGTGAGGTTAGGCGTCGAGTGTTAGGTAAGGTTGTGACGCTACATCAAATGATTAGGATGTGCGTTACCCACTAGTAGCAGCAGTAGCAGTAGCCATCGCCTTCCTCGACGAGGAATGTTAGCTGACGCATGATTAGGTTACATTACACAGAATCAGTCCATGAACACTTTGAGCTAACCATATAGGGAGCTGTAGCCTCCTGACTGCTGAAGATCCATGGGATTCTAAAACGATCAGTGATATGGCTCAAAATCCTTCTCAGTGGTGCAGATGCATCCATTATCTGTGTGATCTGCCAGACCCTCAATACAACCCGACTGTTTCTCAATGTTACTATTCCTTCTCCCAATCACAATTCTGCTTATTATCGACATTTCGAATCCTTCTTTTCTCTTTTTTTCTTCATGTGTTTGCTACTTTGAGTGTGGCAACTGACTGACTGACTGGTTTTAACATAAAACTTTGCACCGATGTGCAGCAGTTCGGCTTGCCACTCTCTCCCTCCATATAACACACAAATCAAGAGAAGAAAGTAAAAAGAAATGCAAATATGAGCTCATCTTTTATTATTTCGAGGATTCTTCTCAACTACCAATTTACATGTACGTGCCAAAGCACATACATCGGAAGAACAAAGAGGAGGGTTATTGTCCGCATTTCTGAACACATACCAAGAAACCTGAGACTGAAAAGTCCACAAGTATTAAACAGTGCAATTGCGCGTCATCTATTAGACACTAGTCATAATGTAGACAACTTGAAGTCATTCAAAATAAACAAGCAAAAGAAAGCTAGCTTGCTACGCTTTGCTGAAGCAATTGCTATCAAACGACTTAAACCAAATCTATGTACGCAGAAGGAGACAGTGGTGAATCTTGCACTGCCCTGGTGATAACAAAAAAAATACAACTTTTATGAGTCACCCTTTTTCTTGTTTAGAAAACTCTACTCTCTCATCTAAACATGACTCACCCTATCTTGTTCTTTTCTCTTCCTTTGGCTATTAGATAAAACATTTTCTTCAGTTGCGTAATCTACTTTTTTGTTATGCTCTCTCTAGCTAAACCTTGTTTCTGTACACATATATATATGCAACTCTGTTTTTGTTTCCAAGCCTAATTGTCTAATTATTCCATAAATAGTCAGTGTTTGTAACTCTTAACTAGTTAAATCATTCCGGACTAATGTTACTTTTACATCCTACCAATTACTCCTTGTGATCGTGGAAAAGTATGTTCAAATCTTCAATGTAATTCATATTTTTTATCGTTCAGGTTGTAACCAGTTGAGAAGAATCCTCGAAATAATAATAAAAGATGAGCTCATATTATCCTGGTACAATTGTTGTTCTTGCTTTGTTCAAATGCAAATATATTTATGGAACGTATAGCTCTCTTAGGACGTTTAAGATTATGATGCAGATGCGTAAATGACAAATAGAAACATTAAAAGTAATGCAAATACTGGAAGTAATGTAAATATGGAACTCAAAGCCTTAATATAGTACCACCATATAAGAAAGGAACATCAGAAGCCTTAAGTAGGATTCTCAATGAGGCTGGAATTAGGATGGCAATTATAGCAACCAAAGAGAGATAAACTTTGTCGACTTAAGGACCTTCCCCCCCCCTCCAATATATTCAATTGAGGTAAATGATATAATTCACCGAATACCACGTAATGACTGTGAGTGAGGTCAATTACACAAGTCAAATTAGTAGTGGCAGATAGGGGTCAATTAGATAATTGGAACATAAAAACGTAGCTAGGTTTGGAATGATTAGGCCCTGTTAAGTTAAATAACCTAGAAAAAACAAAGCTCAGACATTGCATTACAGTTACTTGCATGTAATCAGAAAATAGGGCGGGACAGGGTGACAGTATTAAAATGTAATATAGTGATTTTGTCTGTCTGTTGGGATTCAACATAGAACTTGGCACCGAAGTGCACCAGTTCGAGTTGCCAAGTTCCAAATAACACTCAAAGGTAGACAAGAAAATAAGTGAAGAGGATCAATAGAGTTTGGACAAGTATAAGAGTGAAACAGAATGAGTAATGGTAGAAAGGAATATGAAAGATTACAGAGACTGAATATATCTGCACCATTGACCAACGAGAAGAACCTAGAAGACTTGGATTTCGCGCGTGGATGATTTATGTTTGATGTCACACAATATCGAAGACTTACAAGCGAAAACCGACAAACTGGTCGAAGAAGCAGCAAAGACAGGACTCCAAGTGAACATAGACAAGACGGAGATTATGAAAATAGCCAACCAACAACAACAACAGCTGCTGCAACATCCAGCGCCAATCACCATCAACGGGAGGGATTTGAAAGAGGTTACTTCATTCACTTATCTAGAAGGCATTGTCTCAACTACAGGAGAAACGGACGAGGATGTCAAATCGAGAATCGGGAAGACGAGAAACACATTTGTCAACCTGAAACCAATCTGGAAATCTTCGTCACTCAGCATCAACAACAAAATTCGGATTTTCAATACAAACGTCAAGTCAGTTCTTCTATACGGATCAGAAACTTGGCGGGTCACCAAGAATATTTCCAACAGCCTGTTACAGACCTTTATCAACAACTGTCTTCGCTCTATACTGAAGATCAGATGGCCGGAAAGAATCAAGAACAAGAAGCTATGGGAAGAAACAAAACAAGAACCAATCGCTCAACAAATATTCAGGAGAAAGTGGAGATGGATTGGACACTCGCTGAGGAGGCCACTGGGTGACATCGCGCGTCAGGCCAATGCTCGAGTGGAACCCGAAAGGGAAGCGGCGAGTGGTTCGTCGGTGCAAGAGTGACATGGAGGAGATCGTGTGAAGAGGAGTTGAAACAGTATGGAACAACATGGATGAAGGTGAAAAGTAAAGCAGAAGACAGAAGCAAGTGGAAAGGTGTAGCTGAAGCCCTATGTTCCACTTGGAACCCAAGGGAACAATAATAATAATAATTGACAACGATTTTGAGCCATGTCACCTATTGTCTCCAGCCATTGATTCTTAGAGTCCCGAGGGCCCCAACCCGGTAGTGATTAGGTGGAGACAAAGAGGTCAATCACTTAAGCTTTGTTTATCGATTCAACACCGCATATGTGCAACTGGAATGGCCCAACGCCTACACCGGAGATATGGAAAGTGGCAACAAACAACAAAGGGGTGTTAGAGAGACAGAGGGAAAAATATATATAAGACAAATTGTGAAGCTGTGTGACTAAATTATGAGTAGCAACAATGCATGTTGTTAATACTCCAACACTGTGTGATTTATTAAAATAAACTTATGTAATATGGAATGAAAAAGGTTTTGCGATTAAGCAAACTGACATTTTTGAAACCTATACAGTTAAAAATACATCCAGGATATAGCTACGCCAATTTTTGGTTAATACAATCGTACACATATATCACATTCGAGAGCACTACTAACAGGCAGAAATCACATGCATAAGAGACACTGCAATCTGCTTTCTTATTTTTATTGACCCGACCGAAAGCTGCTACCTTGACGTGGTGGTCGGGCTTGAACACTGCAATGACCCAACAAGCTATACTGGCTGGAACTTATGTTCCTGCAGGTCCTACCATGCCAGAAAGGTTGTTTGGATAGCAGTTAGACTAAAAGCAGTTACCCAATCCAATCCTATGATTTCAAATAAATCTCGAAATATCATGCCGGATCGGTCGGGGCCCGGATTAACAACGACCGCGCTTTCTGCTGCCGTGTCACAGGGCAGAAGTGATAAATACGCTACTGAGACACACCAAATAAAAAAGAACAAACAAAAACAGGCCGTGTGTGACCGGCCTCAAGCAGTTGTCCCCTGGGCTCTGCGGTCACGCAACCAACTTCCACGGTGTGGGCAGCCGGGAAGTAACAATCGCCCTCACAATCCGAAGTGCATGCGAAACCCCTCTAATCCTCGCTCATCTTTGTCTTCATCTTCATCTCTATTATCTTGCCTTCCTTCTACCAATGCAACCCCTCTACTTGTTGGCTCTTCACTTCCCCTTCACTCTGTGTGCCCTGATAACGATGGAAGCCAAAAAGCCACCACCGATTGTCTCCTAAAACCACGCCACCAATTTTATATAGGAGCATTTAATGTTAGGACACTTTGCCAAATAGGACAACAAGCATCACTAGCCAAGACTCTGGCATCCCGAGCCATTGATGTATGTTGTGTTTCAGAAACACGCATACAAGACTCAAGTGTGGTTATTCACCTAACCCCACCTGGCCAACAGGATGAATCTGCAAAATTCACCTTGAGGGTGTCAGGAGATGCGACGGCTAGCTCACGAGGATTAGCTGGTGTTGGGATAGCTTTAAGTACTAGAGCAGAAAAGACATTACTTGACTGGATCCCGGTAGATAGCCGAATGTGCGCTGTCCGCCTGAACGGATCAGCGAAAAGGAGAAAGGACTGCACTACTCGCCGATGCCTTTTCGTAATCTCCGCCTACGCCCCCACTGACTGCAGTTCGGATGAAACGAAGGATGAGTTCTACCAAAAGCTGTCTAGTTTGCTGCGAAAGGCTAGACGCTCAGATATAGTCGTTTTAGCTGATGACTTTAATGCTCAAGTAGGGAAATTGTGTCAACCTGAGAAGAATGTTGGTGGCACATACGGAATTCCGTGCCAGCGAACCGACAACGGTGACCGTCTCCTACAGTTCTGTTCAGATAATCATTTGTATCTTGTAAGCACTAACTTCAAACACAAGGAGAGACACTGTTTGACCTGGCGACCCCCATCATCAAATCAACGCTGGACACAAATAGACCACATAGCAATAAGCTATCGTTGGCGTGGGTCGGTAGGAGATTGTCGCTCCTTCTGGAACACGTGTGTAGATACCGATCATGCACTGGTCCGCGCTCGTGTGTGCTTACGACTGAACGGACGTAGGAAACAGCTGGCGGTAAACCCATCACGTCCCCAGCTCGACCAGGGAACTAAGTCCCTATTTGAGGAAGAACTAGCTAAACACATATCTGAGTTTGACAGCTGCGCTCACCCTGAAGAAGCCTGGAAGAATATTCAGTCAGCCATAGATACAGCTGTAAAAGCTGTGAATAAGGTAATTCCAAAGGTGAGTAAAAACCATTGGATTTCGGCTGCCTCATCCGAACTGATAGATGCTAGAAGACTTATTCCGGCGAGCTCCGAATTCAATGAGGAGCGAAAGCTGCACAAGAGGAAACTTACGAAAAGTCTCCGCAAGGACCGTGAACAGTGGTGGTTGACAAAGGCGAAAGAGATGGAAAAAGCATCGGCGGTAGGCAACACCAGACAACTATTCAGGCTTATCAGGGAAACAGGTGGTAAAAAACAAATGATAAGCGAAACAATCTCCGAGAAAAATGGCACCATAATTAGCTCCCAGGATAGACGTCTGGAGCGCTGGAAAGAACACTATGAGGAGCAGTTTAATTGGCCCACAGCCACACTTAACCTACCGGACATCCGACACCTCCCTGAATGGGAGATAGACACAGGTCCTCCGTCCTTAACCGAGGTTACTAAAGCTGTCACCAATCTGAAGCTAGGCAAAGCAGCGGGACCTGATTTATTGACTCCAGAGGTATTTAAGTACGGAGGCGACAGTTTACTGTCTGCGTTAACGGAGGTTCTAGGCAGCGTCTGGGAATCAGAGGAAGTCCCATCGGGTTGGTGTAAGTCACTGATCATCCCGATATACAAGAAGGGGGACAAGTCGTCTTGTGATAATCACAGAGGGATTAGCTTGACTAATATAGTATCTAAAATCCTAGGCTCAATAATACTGCGTAGATTAAGTGGTGCTCGGGAGACACAAACACGAGAAAACCAGGCAGGTTTTAGGCCAGGTAGAGGGTGTATTGATCACATCTTCACCCTTCGACAGATTCTAGAACATAGGCATTCCTACCGGCGTCCGACAATCATTATATTTCTTGACCTAAAGACGGCATTCGATTCTGTCGACCGGGAGGTTATCTGGCGATGCTTGGCTGTAAAGGGAATGCCAAGAAAATACATTGCACTGATTAAGGCACTCTACTCGTACTCATGCAGCCAGGTGAGGGCTTATGGCGAGTTGTCATCTGAAGTGGTGACGACTAGTGGCGTCCGTCAAGGATGCCCATTATCCCCATTCCTATTCAATTTCATCATAGATGTACTAATGGACTTAACCCTAACTCACTTCAGCGACTCAGGGATTGACTTGCTACCAGGGAAGAATCTCGTTGACTTAGAATATGCGGACGATATAGTCCTTCTAGGCGAGGACTCTGACAAAATGCAGAGTCTACTGAACACCCTGAGCAACAATCTCCGCATGTTTGGCATGCGATTCGCCCCTATAAAATGTAAGATGATGCTGCAGGATTGGACTTCATCGACCCCTAGATTAGAAATAGGAAGTGAAGTGGTAGAGCACGTTGACCGCTTCACTTACTTGGGAAGTACCATCAGCCCAAACGGGTTGATCTCCGACGAAATTTCAGCAAGAATACAGAGGGCTAGGTTCGCATTCGCCAGTTTTCGCCGTCTCTGGCGTACACGCGATATCCGACTATCGACCAAAGGGCGTGTGTACTGCTCAACAGTCCGCTCCGTCCTCCTTTATGGCTGTGAGACCTGGCCATTGAGAGCAGGAGACATGAAAAGATTAGCTGTCTTCGATCATAGGTGTCTGCGTTCTATCTCCCGCGTGAAGTGGTATAATAAGGTGAGCAATATTGAGGTTAGGCGTCGAGTGCTAGGTAAGGCAGGGAAATCAATTGACGAGACTGTGAAATTACTTCGACTGAGATGGTTAGGACATGTGCTACGTATGCCTAGTCATCGCCTTCGTCGACGGGCAATGTTAGCTGATATAGGGTCAGGCTGGAAAAGAGCTAGCGGCGGTCAAACCAAAACATGGCACCAATCAATGAAATCTACAACAGTTAGTCTAAGTCACGTAGGGAGATGTAGACTTCCTGGTTGGGGTCCTCGGGACGGTAAAAACCAATGGTTGGAAACAATTGGTGACATGGCTCAAAATCGTTCTCAGTGGCGCAGATGCATCCACTCCTTGTGACTCATGATTTCCAATGAAACTGTTTTGTTCTTCGTTATTACTATACCTTTGTCTCACACCTCTGTTTACTGTTTCCATTATGCATTTCTTCTACTTTCTTCTCTTGCTTTGTGTGCTACATGGAGTGTGGCGACTTGAACTGCCGCACATATGTGCAAAGTTCTATGTCGAAAACCGACCGACCGTTCCCTTAGGTTCCTGGTGGAACATAGGGCTTCAACTGCACGTCTCCACTTGCTTCTGTCTTCTGCTGTACTTTTCACCTGCATCTATGTTAGTCAGTACTGTTTCAGTTCCTCTTCGCACGATCTTCTCCATGTCACCCTTGGACGTCCCACTCACCGCTTCCCTTTCGGGTTCCACTCGAGCATTGGCCTGACGCGCGATGTCACCCAGTGGCCTCCTCAGCGAGTGTCCAATCCATCTCCACTTTCTCCTGAATATTTGTTGAGCGATTGGTTCTTGTTTTGTTTCTTCCCATAGCTTCTTGTTCTTGATTCTTTCCGGCCATCTGATCTTCAGTACAGAGCGAAGACAGTTGTTGATAAAGGTCTGCAACAGGCTGTTGGAAATATTCTTTGTGACCCGCCAAGTTTCTGATCCGTATAGAAGAACTGACTTGACGTTTGTATTGAAAATCTTTCTTATTTATATGATACTAACCAGACGTAGCATCGGTAGTTCACTGATAGGATAGGACACTCGTCTCAACCACGCACGTAGTCCGGATTTCACGATTGCCGGCTGACACACTCCTACTAAGTAATGATAGTGAAATGAGGGAAGTTTGGGCGTGTGAGTCTGGAAAACGCAAACTCGTGAAAGCACCACATCACTACTGTAACTTCAGAGCCCAAACCTCTAAACATTATATTCCACTGAGAACGCACGCGACGGGATATAAGAGTTAGAAGTGAGTATTTCTCGGCTATAATAAACCAGTGACTCAACTCAAACGACAACTAGAAAGAGAGATAACACCACCAAAAAAAAGTTACCAAAAGTACTCATACTTACGCATCAGGTGAATGCATACTGAGAACATTTAACAATCTTGTCAAAGCAGTAAGAACTTGAGGTTCATGTGACCACATATCCAGTGCTATACGAGCACACATTAAAAGACCTTGAATACAAGCTTTATTGGTATCATGACAATAATTTTCTGGTGAAAGATTTTCTTTTCCATCAGATAGCTGCTTGTTTTCTTGATTTGATAATAAACCTTGATGAGCTGCTGGTGGTTGTGTTGAATCCGACTGTAGTATACTTAGAATTGGTGATCGAGAAATGTTGGACTGTTAAAAAATATAAGTAAAAAACAAACATTAAAAAACATGAATAAAAAACAGTCTGCTTGGTAGCGGTTAACGTTACGTATTTAAACAAGAAAACCTTCTTCGCGATAGCTACCACCACTGGCTACCTCATCAATGTGCATCTATCAATTCACCTGCTGATGTGGAGCAAAGTATGTCCATTGTGCTTAGCGCTTGCTATCCAAACGTATCATGGGACAATCACCGCCTCATGGTTATATATAGGAGAGAAACAAAAAGATCCCCCACCCCGCCACAGTAGCTCTATCCTGGAACACCTTACATCAAATCTCGACACCAAGCTAACCCACTAACCTACAGAATACGTGGGAATTTTGTTAAAAGAGTACGCATCAAACCTCTTCAGGCCGTAGAAGCAATGGCAATTCATCACATGTTAAATCCTGAACTCTACATACAAAAGCAGTTTGTTCAGTCATCAAATCTACAACGGACGCGATCTGTCTATCTTAACACACTGGATACGTAACTTTTCTGCTTTTTGTTTCATATTTGCAGTATTTCCTTCCCTCATCCCCCTTTGTATTAAATTTCCACCCCTTATTACCACACTGTTATTAACTCACTTAGCTGCCGTTCAAATTTCAGTTGAATTCTATTCAACCCTAACAATTATATTACGTCACTTTTTTTGATTGCACACTTGTCAGTAACTAGTGTAATGTGTCTAGTCCTATCTTCGGTGCAGACTGAATTCTACCAGTCATGTTTGCAATGTGGCTACCATGCTAGGTGGCTCGATATTACGGTGCACTGTGAATTGTTGGTATTAGATGGTTGGAGGCAATCGACCACAGGAAGCCTTGGACCTAGGTTTCATGCTAGTTGGCACTCATCAGCAAGGCGTATCTGCAACCTTGAAGGAACTGATGACTGATAGAATTCAGTCTGCACCGAAGATAGGACTAGACACATTACACTAGTTACTGACTAGTGTCCAATCAAATATATGCAATACAGTCCTACAGGAGGTCAGTCGCGAGCCTGAATAGCTCAGTGGTAACGTCTATGACTGCAGGTAGCACTGGGTGACGCGGGTTTGAATCTCAGAAGGGACATGAGTTCCTTCAAGGTTGCAGATACGTCTTGCTGACTGATGAGTGCCAACTAGCACGAAACCTAGGTCCAAGGCTTCCTGCCGATTGCCTCCAACCATCTAATACCAACAATTCACAGTGCACCGTAATGGCGAGCCACCTAGCATGCTGGCCACATTGCAAACATGACTGATAGAATTCAGTCTGCACCGAAGATAGGACTAGACACATTACACTAGTTACTGACTAGTGTCCAATCAAATATATGCAATACAGTCCTACAGGAGGTCAGTCGCGAGCCCGAATAGCTCAGTGGTAACGTCTCTGACTGCAGCACTAGGTGACGCGGGTTTGAATCTCAGAAGGGACATGAGTTCCTTCAAAGTTGCAGATACGCCTTGCTGATGAGTGCCAACTAGCACGAAACCTAGGTCAGGCAAGGCTTCCTGTGGCCGACTGCATCCAACCACCTAATACCAGCAATATTACATCACTCAATTTACTTGTTTAATTTTACTTTAGTTTCTACCCAATTTACTCTCTTTACATTACGTGGTATATATATATATATATATATAATGCGATTGTAAAGCGACATCGCAGAGAAGAGTAACTCTTCACGGAACATCTTTTCAGTGATTTAACCAACGTCAAATAAAATCTGATGTATCGGTACTGGATACAGATACGGAGTACACTTCGATAATATTATACTGAATGGATATATGCTACTATGGATAACTATGGTAATTATGTGGCGTTTGTGACACATCTGGTAAGCCTTAATGACTTCAGTACATTGAATGCAAACAGAATAGGGTTAAAAAAAAGAATTTATTACAAGTTTCATTACGAGCTGAAATCAGTTAGAGAACCATTAGATAAACCAAGAAGTACTGGATAACTAGGTGTTTTGTCTTCGTCTGAGACTCTTCATCGGTAAGTACTCACATAGAAGTTTAAAACACAGGACCTTCTGGTTACAAGACGAGCTCACAAACTATTCAGTCACTGGGGGGGCGGGGGCAATCCAATCGCTTATGAATTCCATCAATATGTAATTTTTAGGGCAACCATCAGTCAATGCTCGCTGGTAACTGGTTACAGGACGAAGTTGTCTGGAGTTCCAGCGAGAAATCATGATCAGTGGGGCTCACCAGGTGGTCGTGTGTGAGGCCAAATACTCGTCGATCACAATGGCTGATGAAAGGGATAAAATCAAGAACTGGAAGGGGATGGAATCCATGGGCGATTGAATCCAGTTCCACTGGCTGTATGGTCTGTCTATGAGCTCTCCTTGTACCTGAAAGGTCGAGGGTTCAAATCCCGGTGAAGGTGAGTACAACAAAATTTCCAGTATTTCTGGATTTCCAATGATTCTCTCAGTAACATCAATCCATGATCAAATATGAGACAAATCAAACTCTTAGAAAGTTACTCAGAAGGTAAAAAGTTATTGTCATCAACAACAACAATAAAGAAACAAATCAATGAAATACTGAACTAACGTTTAATGTATGCCGATCGACAACATGTTGACAAAAATATGCAACAGCAACACGAGTCATTAACCAGAAATTGTCTGCAACTAATTGAGCACTTCCCACAGAATACATTACTTGTAACCATAGCAAACGAAATAGGGAGCATAATAAACTAGAGAATGAGAAAAAAAACACATAAGAATCGTAAATAACACGAAATCTGAATTCATTCACTGGACTACAACATTATATTAGACCAAGCAGTCAGTCATGACAACACGTGACAGAATATGAACATTCTGGTTCAAGACAACAAAAAACTCTCAGTGTGTAATACAGGAGATCTTGCTTGGTATTAAGGTTATCTTTGTGTAATCAGAAAATTAAAATTCTTCGCACCACCTGAATAATTGTCACTAGTTCCAGAGACCAATGTGTGAAGTAATAAAATAGTCTTGAGCTAAAATAGTGTTGAAGCCGCCACTACTGATGGAAAAGATTTGTAGCTCAGGTGGATGATTTTGATGTAGTTGTGTTTTCTGAGCTGGATAGTTTATTTGCGAAGCTTTCATTATACCACTTACTAGGTAACATCTTCGGCGCATACTTCATTCATTTTGAAGTCATCTTTTACATTTCTCCACGAGTTCATTAGTCATCTCTCCTGGTAATGCTGAACGTAATTAGCTGATTTTGTGAGTTCTCACACCTCCTAGATTATTTGTATTGCTAGTCATTGTTTCTTGAACCTTAAGTTTCACTGTTTGTGAGTGAGATTTCCTTCTTATGGTTTTGTAAATTTCGTCTATGTCATAGTACCTAATGAGTGCTACCGAAAATTCTCTGGCCTAATTGGTGTTTCCTCTGTCGTGATATTTGAAAGTTGTCCGCGGTGGTCAGTATGCAGTGATTTGAGTGAGGGAGTGGATGTCATGTCTTTTGACGGCTAGTTTACCTTGATGGAGATGAAGACGAAAGGGACGTTCACTTTGGCCAATTTGGTGTTTTGCGAATCCTTACGGATAAGATTGCTTTGTAATGTATTTGTGTGTCTGACTTTTTGAAGAAAACTCTCATGTCATGCTTATTGAGTACTCTTCTGATATCGTCTGACCTTTCTGATCTATACTGAATGACAGGTGTGGAAGTGCGTGTCTTCGGAGAACTTTTTCAACTATCTTTTATTTTGATATTGATTTTGGTAATGAATATAAGTTGAAATTTTGTAAATTTTGGTTTAAATATTACTACTTTAAGACTAAGCTGTTAGTAGCATTAAATAGCGAAACATTATTAAAAACAGAAATATCGTTTAGTTTTTTTCATTCACTCAGAAAAACAAAATAGTTATCTTATAATAATTATTATCATTACTCCCTTGGTTTCCGAGTGGAACAAAGGGATTCAACTACACATCTCCACTTTCTTCTATTTTCTGCTGTCCACTTCAGCTGGGCCCACGATTTGCCCATAGTCTCTTACCTTCTCCTCCTCCTCGAACGACCTCCTCCATGTCACCCTCGGATCGACGACCCACTCGTCATTCCTCATCTGGGTTCCAATCCAGAGCCTGGAGCGTGTTGTCATTCGACAACTTACTTAACGTATGCCCGATCTATCTCCATTTCCTCCTACATATTTGTTCAGCAATCGGCTCTTGGTTGGTTTTTTGCCAGAGTTTCCAAATTACTAAATCTTCCTTGCTGGCTACTTGAACTTCAATATGGAGCCAGCGAAAGCAGTTGTTGATAAAAGTTAGCAGTGGCCTATTGGAAATCCTTTTCCCTCTGACCCATATAAAAGAACTGAGTGACTTCACATTCGTGTTGAAAATCCGGATCTTGTTCTTTACGCTGATTGAGTGCAGAAGATTTCCAAACTGGTTTCAGATTGATGAAGGCCTGCGTATCTTGCCTTTCCGATTCCCACTGGCCAGCTGTGACATCTTCATTCGTTCCGCCAGCTGTGGTTGAAACTATGCTTACTGGCCAGATAAGTGAAGGAGGCAACCTCTGTTAAATCTTTCATTGGTGGCGATTAATGCTGGTCGTTGTTTCTGTTGGTTGGTTATCTTCATCACTTGGGGTCCTCTTTCCTCTGCCAGCCTCTTCAGCCAGTTTGTTGCTTCTCACCTGTAAGTCTTCGAGTTCATATGACATTAAACATAAATCATCCACGCGTGAAATCCAAATCTCCTAGAGTCTTCTTATCTGTTGTCCAGCGTATTCCTGTCTCCTTGCTCCCAATTATTATTATTATTATTATTATTATTATTGTATCCTTTAATTCCTATAGGAACATAGGGCTTCAGCTACACGTCTCCATTGCGTTCGGTTCTCTGCTGGAGTCATCACATGGCTCCATGTCTGCCCACATTCTTTCTTTTCAAGGTCTGCGTTGTTTGCGGGTGCATAGCATTGTATAACTGACACTTTCCTTCCTTTGGAATTAAATCTGGCGGTCATTATCCTGGGCGAGATCGCCTTCCATTGCATCAGGGCCTTCGTTGCTGTTGGTGACATCATGATAGCCATGCTCTCGGTGTGCGAGTGGTTATCTTCTGGGTGACCGGAGTAGATCACTGACTCACCCCTTGACAATTTGGTGAGTCCATACCCGTTCCATCTGCTTTCACATATCCCCAGTACTTGAATTCCGTATCTTTTCATTTCGTTTGCAATCTGTGCAGCTTTGCCAGTCTCGTAAATGGTGTAGACGTTTCACGTCCCCACACAGACTTTTTCTTTTGGCGCAAGGAGATTCATCGTGCTGAAGTTTCTGTAGCAGCTTTGTTTACAGGGTGGGGTTGCTAGCCTCACGCCTGAGAATTATAGTGTAGAGAGAAGTGATCTTGTGGGTTGTTCTCCTTAAAACGAGGAAAACAAGGAATAAAACAATCAGAACAACACCAGCACGGGAAAATAATTCACAACAAGAAGGGTAACAGCACAGCCTGAATAATAATGAATATCATATATCCAATGTCTAAATTATACTCAAACTATTTAACCTGAACTTTGTTTAAACATGTATAAAATAAATCAGTGTTATGTTACGTAATAAAAACATCAACAACAACAACAAAAACACATACATCACAAGCGAAGGAACATGTGTATAGGATAAATTTTCCGGAGGCCAATTACTCTTCAAGTCAATAGTTTGAACAACAGACATCAGTATTAGGCGACGACTGTTCACTAAATCAACAGTAGCATTAGAACCTAGATATAAGAGTTGCTGGGGAATCTGAATAAAGCATAGAAAAAACCAAAAAATGTTTAACACAATATTGAACATTTACATATATCTATACTTCAAATAAACAAATTCTTCTAATGAATTACCTGACTGCTAAGACATTGAACAATGGGGTTAGTTAAAAATACAAACTTATATGGTTCAAATTCTAAACTAACAGTCATCAACTGAGATACACCTTGTGCGTCGGTGGCATAGCGGTTAAGACGCTCACCGACCATGCACATGGTCCGGGGTTCCATCCTCAGCCGATGCACTCCTTTACCTCGCTAGGCCCGAACTAAAGCTGGTGAAGAGGAAAGGTTGGGCATGAGGCTAGCAACCCTATCCTGTAAAAATAAACACTGCTACAAAAACTTCAAGCCTCTAGCTTGAAGCACTATGTTCCACTGGGGAACGTGAAGGAATAAAAAAACTGAGGTAAACCAAGAAATATTCATATATTTCTAATGATGAAGTTTAAACTACACTTAGCAAACTACGTAGAAGTCGTCAAATGAACGAATGAGAACACGCGATACACAGACAGCTAAGAATATTGTATTACTGATCTAGGTACTCAACTTTCAACCCAACAGGTCATGAGTTCGAACCCCGTTCCGCCAACTGCGGTTTCTACATCCAGGTAGTAATCAATAGTCCTCACACACGCACACACACACACACACAAAGAGTGTGACTCATTGCCCAGTGCACAGAATCGCAAGTGGTGTTCATTGAGTAACCTTCACAATGTCTCAACACTACTGCTTCAAATAACTTCTCCGAAACCGGAAGGTTCTGAGTTCAGCCCCTGGCGTGACCATGGGTGCGTACTTATGAAAAGTCCCAAACAAGGTGGACGAAACAGCCCGGTAGTCTCTGGTTTTTCAAAAGTTCTCTAACCAATGTCAGCTCAACCAATACTAGAACTTCTCCATTTATTGACTGAAATAATACATTTCAACATCGGTAGCGTACTAAGCACTACAGCAGAGGGCTACATCCCTCGACTGGGTCCCTATCAATACTCATTTATGTGCCATTAAGCTAAGAGGTTAATTCTACAAGAAAATTGGCCAGATAGGCGTTGTCATTTCAGTATCAATACCTGGAAACCACCATTTGTTGCCACGGTGAGTTCTGACGTCAAATGAGTAGTGACATTCTGAAACAATCCCGCTCGACAACAGATATTGTAGTACTTAATTAAAGACTTAATTGAATGGGTCGAGTATGATAGACTCAAGGGAAAGTTTAAGTAGTTATATGTCAGATAATCCACCCTTACTCAGATGATAACCTATTTCCGACCGACAAAAAATTCTAACACGGAAATCTCTGTACTGATACGATACCTGGATATATCACACAGCTATCAGCAACCGACGGAATTACCACTGTATACGGATTTCGACCATCCTTCAGTATACTTTTTTTTATTCCTTCACGTTCCCAGTGGAGCATAGGGCCTCAAGCTAGAAGCTTGAAGTTTCTGTTGCAGTAGTAGTTATTTTTACAGGATAGGGTTGCTAGCCTCATGCCCAACCTTTCCTCTTCACCAGCATTACTTCTGGCTTAGCGAGGTAAAGGAGTGCATCGGCCGAGGATCGAACCATTTCCCTGGTAGGCGAGCGTTCTAACCACTGTGCCACCGATGCAAAGACATTATCAGGGCAAGACACATGCATATAGCACACAGACTTCTTCAAACCTTGCACACAACCATTACGTTGCGTACTATCCCATCTCTACTGGCGGATCTGGCAACAAAAGTCACAAGGACACCATCAGAGCATATGACAGGTTAGGTACCCCTCAGTATACTTGCTATTTACTATTTTTATTTTATTTTATTCCTTTCCGCACCCAGTGGAACATAGGACTTCCAGCTTCAGCGGCTCTAAAGTCTCAGTAACAGTATTGTCCAACTTTACCTCTTTACCGGTTTTAAAGCCAGATTAACGAGGCGTAGTAGTGCATCGCTCAGGAATTGAACCCAGGACCGCGTGTGTGATTGGTGAGTATTTTACCGCTAAGCCACCGACGCACATTTAGTGTTATCTATAAAAGTTGTAAGAAGAGTATAATATACGTGAATCAATCGCGCCTGCAGTTGCAGACACCAGTTTACACACAACATTAGTAACTAACGCCGCACAGAGTATAGATGAAGACTGGCGACAATTACAAAACGATAAGATAATGGTGAGTAAAGCCACCTGTGGCTAAGAAGAACATCTCGATAACAATCAGTAAGTTTCTGTGTTTTCTTCGTAACTTCTAGAGACAACAGTCAATTCATCTTGATGGATAGAACGAGTACACTAACAGACGTCTGGCTGGATTCAACATAGAACTTGGCACCGAAGTGCAGCAGTTCGAGTTGCCACGTTCCAAATAGCACACAAAGGTGGTAGACAAGAAAATGAGTGAAGAGAATCAATAGAGTTTTGACAAGTATAAGAGTGAAACAGAATGAGTAATGGTAGAAAGGAGTATGAAGGTTAAAGAGACTGAATACATCTGCGTAAGCCATTGACAACGATTTTGAGCCATGTCACCTAGTGTCTCCAGCCATTGATTCTTAGAGTCCCGAGGACGGGCCCCGACCCCGAAGTCTGCATCTCCCTCCCTACCTGACTCAGTTTAACTGTCAAGGATTTCATGGACTGATGCCATGTTTTTGTTTGGTCACCATTTACTCTTTTCCAACTTGCACCTATATCAGCTAGTAATGCCCGTCGGAGTGGGGGAGGCGATGGTCAGGCATGCACAGCACCTGACCTAGCCATCTCAATCTATGTAACTTACTAGCCTCTTCGATTGATTTTCCCTCTTTGCCCAACACTCTACGCCTAATGTCAACATTACAGACGCTATTATGCCACCTAACGTGAGAAAGAGATCGTAAACATCTGTGGTCAAAAACAGACAATCTCTTCATGTCTTCCGCTCTCAATGGCCATGTCTCACCGCCATAGAGAAGGACGGAGCGAACTGCTGAGCAGTACACACCTCCCTTGGTTGATAATCGGATGTCACGCCTACGCCAGAAACGGAGTAAGTTAGTGAAAGCAGCTCCAGCTTTTTGGACCCGTGCTGAGATTTCGTCACCAATCAATTCGTTGGTGCTGATACAACTTCCCAAATAGGTGAAGTGGTCAACATGTTCTATCACTTCACTCCCTATCACTAAGCTAGGAGTTGACGTAGTCCAGTCCTGTAGCAGCATCTTACAGGACTAACAGACGTTACACCAATACAGATAAAATGAAACAGTACTTATAATTATTGGTTATCTCTTCAGAATATGATAAAATATTCTTACTGAAAATTGTGTTTCCCATGGACAATTTGTTCGTAGTACACTGGTCAATGAAGCTGGACCAGATACTAAGAAATGTCCTGTAATTAATAACAACCAATGAGCATCTTCTAACAAATTGACTGTTGCTTCACTTTCTCTGTCTTGTGTATGCAGCATTAATTGTGTAACACGTTCATTTAATAAGTGAACAAGCGTATTGACAGATTCTTCAACAGATGATAAACCACATGCGCCAACAGCAAATAGACTATCCTGAAATCAAAAAAAAAAAAAAAAAAGAAAAATGCGTTACAAAAAAAGCTTATGAGTACATATCGATGATGTTAGGAAGAGGCAAAACATGCAATTATCAGGTCATCAGTCAAGTTATTATCGCGTTATTAACAAGTCGTTGACATGCAATTGTTCCTGCTTCTGATTGGACGCTTGCACAATTCAAACTCTAAACCGGATTGGTTGATTTCCAGTCTACCTTATTTTCTGTATAAATACAGTCAATTTTGTCATAATAAATGAACCTGGTTTTGCAGTTGATTCTCTTCGTGTTCTGCTTTACCAGTTAAGTGGGCACTAGTCAGTAGTTAAGCAGTGACCGCAGGACAAAGGATCCAGCATCATAACAGATGATATATATATAATACTCACTTATAAAGACACAACAACTCAATTTCATTGACTTTGAAAAGGTCTTCGACAGCGCAGCGTCGATCGAGAGGTGCTTTGGAAACTACTTCGCTACTATCAAAGGGTGCCACTGACAATTATACATCTCATCCAACAGTTGTACGACAACGCTGCATGCCAAGTAATCCACAACAGGAAACTTACGAAATCCTTCAAAGTGAAGACGGGGGGTAAGACAAGCTGGCTGGCTGCCTACTATCCGGAATGATTTTCTTGATTTCGGTAGATTGGATAATGCGACAAACAGCGGGCAATGAGGAAACAGGCATAAAATGGACCCACATAAAAAACTTGGAGGATCTGGACTTCGCCGATGATATATGTCTGATTTCCCACAAACTGGAAGATATGCAAGTGAAAAGCAACAACTTAGCAGAAGGAGCATCCAGAGAAGATAGGACTTCCTTCAGGTGAACATCGAGGAAACAGAGGTAGGTGATGAAGATTTCTGGGCAACACCACCACCAACAACAACAACAACAGACAACAATCAGCATAAATGGGAGGAACCTGAAAGAAACAAACTCTTTTACCTACCTGGGAAGCATCGTTTCAACTACAGGCGGAACTGACGAGGATATCAAAGCAAGAATAGGAAAAGCAAGACAAGCTTTCACTACTCTCAAGTCTGTGTGGAGGTCAACAGCACTCAGCATCAAAAATAAGATCCGGATTTTCAACTCCAATGTGAAGTCAGTGCTACTTAACATATGGATCAGAGACTTGGCCAGCGCGTCATAAAGAGCATCTCAAACAAACTACAGACCTTCATTAACAGTTGTCTTCGCTCAATACTACTCAAGATCAGATGGCCAGCCAGAAAAAATCAACAACAGAGATCTCTGGCAATGAGCGAACCAACCAGGAACCGATTGTGAAACAAATAGGCAGGGAGAAATGGAGATGGATTGGCTGACCATACTCTGAGGAAACCATCAAGTGACATCACTAGACAAGCCATCGGTCGAGTGGAACCCGACTGAAAGGGAAGCGGCGGATTGGTCGTCAGTGCAAGGGTGACTTGGAGGAGGTCATGTGAAGAGGAGATGAAAACGTGTGGACAGACATGGAGCCAGGTGAAAATTCTAGCAGAGAACCAAACGCAATGGAGACGTGGCTGAAGCCCTATGTTCCTCTGGGAATTAAAGGAAATAATAATAATAAAAATAATAATAATAATAGGAAGATACACATATAGATATATAGATAGCCCAAGGAAAAATGGTAAAGGAAATGCTAAAATGTTTGTCAAATATATTGAATACCGATCTCTACATTCAATATTCACAAGACGTATGATAATATAAACAGCACACAAATATTATTACATTTTTCCATTGAACTGATTAACCAAATGGTTTCAACGTGGAACTTTGTACAGATGTGCACCAGTTCAACTTGCCACACTCTCTCCATGTAGCACAACAAAAAACAACAGAAGAGAGTAAAGAGAGAATCAACCAGAGAGAGAGATAATAAATAGAAGTGTGAGTGAGTGAGCGAAACAGAATAGTAGTAATATGGAAGAACAATAGTTTTATTGTGTATAGCAAATTGTGAAAGAGTAAAATTGCATCTGTGCCATTGACGACGATGATTTTGAGCCATATCAACAACTGTCTCCTCCAGCCAATATTGGTTCTTATTATCCCGAAGAACCCAATTAGCCAGAATTCTACACCTTCCCAAGTGACTAACTCAAACTAACTGTCATGGATTTCATGGACTGATTAAGCCATGCTTTCGTTTGACTACTTTACTTTACTTCGGCTATCTCCTACGGGAGGATGAGCCGGCTTCATGAACATCTCGAATCGTTTGTAAGAGAGTTCATGAAGTTTCATGGGAATTTGGTACGAGTGTTGTCCCCAGAATCGCTCGGCCTTTTGTTTGAGAGTGCAGCTCTAGTCTTTACACAACCAAGTGTGACCTACAAGGTAGTAGGAGTGGAGTAGGGAGTCCACTATCCATTGGCAGCCAGTGACCGGAGTTCGGTTTATACGCCTTTTTGAATGGGGCCAGAAATCCAGGACATCCAACAAGCCCTTTGTCCATACGTCTGCCGGTGAGCTCCAGTGAGCTTCATACGCCAGTCGTTGGAGGTTTGGAATCAGGGTTTAGCCATCTCCCCTAGACTGTCATCCAATGGACAGTCAACCCGGTGAAGAGCGCCGCGCATCCGCTTTCGCCCCCTCCATTTGGTGAAAAAACACCTCCGCCACGTGAAGGCAGTGAGTAGGACTCCCTCAGGAGAGACTATGTAAGACGCCCGGGCATATGGGAGCATTTCAAGAGGTGTGCGGAGGGGTGGCCAACCCGCAGCGCAAGGCACCCACCCCCGACCATCCTGAGGCTTTGGAGGCTTTGCCACACTCCCTCCATGTAGCACAACAAAGCAACAGAAGAGAGTAAAGAGAGACTCAACAAAAGTGAGACAATAAACAGAAGTGTGAGTGGGCGAAAGAGAATAGTAGTAATATGGAAGAACAATAGTTTTATTGGGTATAGCAAATTGTGAAAGAGTAAAATTGCATCTGTGCCATTGACGACGATGATTTTGAGCCATATCAACAACTGTCTCCTCCAGCCAATATTGGTTCTTATTATCCCGAAGAACCCAATTAGCCAGAATTCTACACCTTCCCAAGTGACTAACTCAAATTAACTGTTTTTGGATTTCATGGACTGATTAAGCCATGTTTTCGTTTGACCACCACTATGCCGCATCGACAATACTGCGTGAAGCAAGCCCACGGAAATCTCCACTTGTATTATTATAATTACCTTAGCTGTTATCATTATTATTATTATTATTATTATTATTTCCATTTTATATGCTGCATGTTTTTTGACATTACCCCTATTGTAAATGTGGAAAATTTTCTGTGTGATTAATTTTATTTATAATTTGAGGAAATTAGATGCAATATTGTGATTAATGCTGAAAATTTCATTCTATATCACAAGTACTGTTTTTGGAATTAAGTAAATTATTATTATTATTATTATAAGCTCTTTTCCAAACTGATCCATTCCATGCCAGCTAACATTTCCCGTCGAGGAAGGCGATGGTTAGGCGTGTATACCTAACACAAGTCCTAACCATCTCACATACTCATCGATTAATTTACCCTCATTACCTATACAACACTCGATCGATACCTCAACTAAATATTATTTTCACTATATTATACCACCTAACACGCGAGATAGAACGCAGGCATCCATGATGAAAGACAGCTATCTGGCTTTTTCGTGTCTCCCACTTTCAATGACCATGTCTCACTTAAAACGATAAAGGAGGACAGAAAGAACTGCTGAGCAGCAAAAACATCCTTCGGTCGATAGCCAGCCAACCGGATATCACGTCTACTAAACCAGAGATGGCGTAATTTGGCTAGTATATGCCAAACGAGCCTTCTGTATCGGTGCTGAGATTTCGTCAGCGATCAACCACCCCTGGCTGATGCAAATGAAGCGGTGGTCAACACGTCCCAACAACCATTTCACTCCCTCCCTGTCTTCAATCTAGTCCTGTAGCATCATCTTATATTTGACTCACAGGAGCGAATCACATACCAAACATCCGAAGATTTCTGCTCAGCTCAAGGTGTTCCAGAAGACTCCGGACTTTGTCAGAGTCTTCACCTCACCTAGAGGACTATATCATCTGCATATTACAAGTCAACGAGATTATACCCTGATGGTAACAAGTCAGTCGCTGAATTCAGTTAAAATTAAGTCCATTAGTAGTAGTAGTGTATATCTACGCTAAAGTTTATTCATATAACACAAATTGTGTTATAATAAATAAATCATGCTTACTTCTGATGCAGTCAAATCATCTTCATCTAACTCAAGATCAATTTCTTCATTATTATCATCATTTTTAATCATTCGACGTAAACCAACCGGTTGAGCCAATTTCGAGGCAAGATAAATTTGAAATAATTGAGACTGTCGAATAGAATTACTTCTTCTTAACATCCGGAGAAGTTTCTTCATTTGTTGAACCAATTGATCTGTCATTGAAAAATTGTAAAAAAAGAATGACATTAAGAAACAATATTTTATATTTTTTTCAATTATTTTATTCCTTCTTTTTGGTTCCAAGTGAAAAATAAGGCTTCAAGCTGGAGTGTTTGGGCTCCAGCAGAGTTGGCATCATGCGATTGGCGAGTGTGACAAACTAGCTGGTTTCAACATAGGACTTTGCACCGATATGTACCAGTTCGAGTCGCCACACTTCACTCAGCACACAAACCAAGAGGAGAAACTAAAAAGAAATGCAATATGCAGACAGTAAACAGAGATATGAGGCAAAAAGAATAGTAACAACGAAGAATAATATAGTTTCACTGGCAATTACAAGTCACAAGGAGTGAATCCATCTGCGTCAGCCATTGAGAACGATTTTGAGCCATATCACTAATTGCCTCCAGCTATTGGTTTTTACCGTCCCGAGGACCCCAACCAGTCAGTCAAGAAGTCTATAACTTCCTACGTGGCTGGCTGGCTTAAACGAACTGTTGTGGATTTCATTGACTGATGAAGACACGTTTTGATTTGACCACCACTAACTAGCTCTTTTCTAAACCTGATGCATCCCGTGTCAGCTAACAATGCCCGTTGTCGAGGGAGGCGATGGCTAGGCATACATGCGTAACACATGTCCTAACCATCTCAATGGATGACGAGTGTTCTGTCATTGACGCTTAAAATACCACATGTAAACACTGAATAAGCGAGACATGTGCATCGGAAAAATTGAAAAACATTTAACTAAATCTCCTCTATAAAAGTCCACTGCATAAAAAGGTAGTAGTGACGAGACTAAAATCAAATACAACTGTTATTTTATTCTACTTGTGACATAGTTGAGACTCATCTGTAAGTGTGTGTGTGTGTGTGTATTTATTATGCAGAGAACAGAAGTGTATTGGAAACTTTCCCCACCTCATGTTCAAATCATACCAGTATCCGATGAATCCATTAATAGTTGACTTTATACATTGCCTTAGAATTGTTGGACAGAACTGCCTTGTGGAGCTGTCTGTTACAGAAGGGTATATCTGAGAAGTTTGTTAGCATCCTGAAAGCCCTATAACGAAACACCTCAGGTAGAAGGGCATACAACCGGCTATCACCACTGTCCCTAATCAATGGTGGGCTTACAACACAGGGTTTCCCAATCTCTCCATTTCTCTTCAAATTTGACATCGATGACATCCTGGAGTCAGCTCTGAAGGACGTGCGTGGTGGCGGTGGTGTAGATCTGCTTCCTGGGGAAAGACTTTTGGAATTTTAGTTTGCAGAAAACACTGTCTTACTGTAAGATAGTGCACACTCTGTCCAAATTGCAATGAATCAGTTGGCAATCAGTGTCTAGAAATAAGGTATGTGCTTTCCACCGCCTGAGTGCAAACTACTGTTACAAGACTGCCTGGCAGGAGCCTGTGCCTGCACTCACCGTCACAAGTGAACCACCCGAAGTTACCGACAAGTCTGTGTATCTGGGTAGTTGTGTGAGTGCTGGTGGAGATGTAACGGACAAGATTTCTAACCATATCATGAAAGCTAGAGTAGCATAAGCCAACTTGAGCCACTTCTGGAGTCCAACGCGAAGTCAATCTGGCTGCCAGAGGTTGAAGCACCATCTTGCTTTACACCTGTAAAACCTGACCTCCACAAGCTGAGGATGTGTGGTGACTCTACGTATTCGATTATCACTGTCTCCATAGAATCGCCTGTGTCCGATGGAATAATCGTGTGAGCGATTGCGAGGTACAGCAGAGTGTGTTCAGACTCGGTGGAGATCACCATTCACCAGCGGATGCCCGGCGCTCTTCACCTGTTTGACTGTCCATTGGATGACAGTCTAGGGGAGATAGCTAAACCCTGATTCCAAACCTCCAACGACTGGCGTATGAAGCTCACTGGAGCTCACCGGCAGACGTATGGACAAAGGGCTTGTTGGATGTCTTGGATGTCTGGCCCCATTCAAAAAGGCGTATGAACGGAACTCCGGTCACCGGCTGCCAATGGATAGTGGACTCCCTACTCCACTCCTACTGCCTTGTAGGTCACACTTGGTTGTGTAAAGGCTAGAGCTGCACTCTCAAACAAAAGGCCGAGCGATTTTGGGGTCATCACTCGTACCGAATTCCCATGAAACTTCATGAACTCTTCATCAGATCGCCGCGCCTGGACAGCGATGATTCGAGATGTTCATGAAGCCGGCTCATCCTCCCGTAGGAGATAGCCGAAGTAAAGTAAAGTAAGTAAGTACCATTCACTGAGTGTGATCATCTGGAAACACCGGCTTCAGTGACTTGGACATGTGCTACGAATATCATCCTAGAGACTTCCGAACCCGTCTCTGTTCGCCAGCCTCGGGGACTGGACGGAAAAAGCAGAGAGGCGATCAGCCCATAATCCCAGGAATTCTAGATCCAATGGTCGATAATTTCAATACAATTATCATTCGGTCATCGTAAGGCTGAAACTGATAAGAATGAAATATACAATTATAACTTATAGAATAGGATATCTACCCAATACAAACCCACATGTTTTTGCGCAATTTAACGAAACTTTTAGTCAGTTGTTTATGACTCCAGGTGAACATAGACAAGACGGAGGTTATGAAAATAACCAACCAACCAACAACAACAACAGCAACATCCAACGCCAATCACCATCAACGGGAAGGACTTGAAAGAGGTTACTTCTTTCACTTACCTAGGGAGCATTGTCTCAACCACAGGAGGAACGGACGAGGATGTCAAATCGAGAATCGGGAAGGCGAGAAACACATTCATCAACCTGAAACCAATCTGGAAATCTTCCGCTGTCACTCAGCCTGCATCAACAACAAAATTCGGATTTTCAATACAAACGTCAAGTCAGTCAATTCTTCTATATGGATCAGAAACGTGGCGGGTCACAAAGAATATTTCCAACAGGCTGCAGACCTTTATCAACAGCTGTTTTCGTTCTATACTCAAGATCAGATGGCCGGAAAGAATCACCAACAACAAAAAACTATGGGAACAAACAAAACAAGAACCAATCGCTCAACAAAGTGGAGATGGATTGGACACTCACTGAGGAGGCCGTTGGGCGCGTCAGGCCCTCGAGTGGAACCCGAAAGGGAAATGGCGAGTGGGACGTCCAAGAGTGACATGGAGGAGATCGTGTGAAGAGGAGATGAAACAGTATGGAATAACATGGACGCAAGTGAAAAGTACAGCACAAGACAGAAGCAAGTGGAGACGTGCAGTTGAAGCCCTATGTTCCACTAGGAACCCAAGGGAACAATAATTTAGTCAGCTGTTTATACTCAACTGAAGTTTAATGCAAAAAGTATTACAATAAGTAATATAAGCAATAGTTATGATTATTATTCCGATTATAAGATTTTTGGGAATTTTTGATTAATTACAGAGTTAGAATTCAGTCCTAGTGATTGAATGGTCACCGAACTTGGTCTTGTAACCTGAAATCCTTCGACAAGAGGTCTCTTGTGAGATAGAGGGATCACACCACTGAGGGGTCCTAAAAAAGGACGAAACAGCTATCCAATGCTTTTTGATATTTCAATGACCTTTTTAACTGGTACATGACGAAAATATTATAAACAATTGCAATTATGATTAGAATATTGTTCAACATGTATTTTTAAATTAACAATACAAAAAAAAATTACCAGCGTTTTGTACTTGACCAGTTGTCAGTGGCAAAGGTGAGTCATCGTCTGAATCACATTCGGTTACGGCATTATTTTGTTTACCACCAACAAATGACATATCACTCAATGATGAAGGGATCAAGTCGACAAGATCACTCCAACAGTTGAAAAGACGTTCAACAGCTTCATGAGCTAACTGGCCATCACCATCGATCTCCGTAGAACTGGATGCCATTAGACGCATACACTTGAAAGAAAAGAATAATAGGAGGAATGTATATATACAGACTGAAGTAAGGTTCACAAGGATTCACGAAAAAATGTATATGACTGATAGGATCTTTGATCTCAACCATATATCCAGCCATGCATATGGTGAAGAATACTCCAGGATCCGATTTATAAAAACACCATGACTGACAACAAATCAAAGTCACTGCATGTCACATTTAAATTATTATTATTGTTTCCTTTAATTCCTAAAGGAACATAGGGCTTCAGCCGTGCGTCTCCATTGCATTCGGTTCTCTGCTAGAGTCTTCAACTGGCTCCAAGTCTGCCCACCCGTTTTCATCTCCCCTTCACATGACCTCCTCAAGTCACCCTTGCACTGACGACCAACTCGCCGCTTCCCATTCAGCCGGGTTCCACTCGAGCAATGCCCTGTCGTGTGATGTCACTTGATGGTTTCCTCAGAGTATGGTTAGCCAATCCATCTCCATTTCTTCCTGCCTATTTGTTTCACAATCGGTTCCTGGTTGGTTCACTCCCAGAGATCCCTGTTGCTGATGTTTTCTGGCCGGCCATCTGATATTGAGTAGTATTGAGCGAAGACAGGTGTTGATGAAGGTCTGTAGTTTGTTCGAAGTGCTCTTCATGACGAGCTAAGTCTTTGATCCGTATAGTAAGTAGCACTGACTTCACATTGCAGTTGAGAATTCGAGTCTAATTTATCATTTTTATGCTGAGTGCTGTTGATCTCGCACAGACTTGAGAGTAGTGAAAGCTTACCTTGCTTTCCCGATTCTTGCTTTCATATACTCGTCAGTTTCGCCTGTGGTAGAAACTATGCTTCCCAGGTAGATAGGCGAAGAGGTTGCTTCTTTCAGGTTCCTTCCATTTATGCTGATTGTTGTCTGTTGTTGTCGCTGTTGGTGTAGTTGCCCAGAAATCATCATCACCTCTGTTCACCTGAAACCCCTCCTATCTTTGATGCTTCTTCTGCCAACTTGTTCCTTTTCGCTTGCATATCTTCCAGTTTGTGGGACATCAGACATATACCATCGGCGAAGTTCAGATCCTCCAAGTTCTTTGTATGAGTCCATTTTATGCCTGTTCCCTCATTGCCCGCTGTTTGTCGCATTATCCAATCAGGAAAATCATTGGCGATAGTAGGCAGCCACCCAGCCAGCCTTGTCTTCCTCCTGTCCTCACTTCGAAGGATTCCGTAAGTTTCCCGTTGTGGATTACTTGGCATGCAGCATTTTCGTACAGCTGTTGGATTAGATGTATAATTGTCTGTGGCACACCATAGTAGCGAAGTAGTCGCCAAAGCACCTCTCGATCGACGCTGCGCTGTCGAAGGCCTTTTCAAAGTGAATGAAGTTGAGGTAGAGAGCTAACTGTCATTCCAAGCTTTGTTCAATGATGATCCGTAATGTGGTGATCTGATCAATACATTCAAATAGCCAACACAAAACCACAAATATCAAGGCCATTGGGTTCCAAGCAAAACACAGAGCTTCAACACCACATCTCCATTTTGTCCTGTTCGCCAAAATTCTTTTGGTACGCGATATCACTCAACGGTCTGCTCAGCGTGTGTCACATCAATCTCTATTTTCTTCGGCATGTATCTGTTAGGCGACAGGCTCTCTTGCTTGGTTCATTTGTAGAGCTCTTTATCAAAACCGTAGGTGTTAAGAAAGTCTTCAGACAATTCGACCCCCGGTTCTCACTAAATCACTGTATAATTATTGGAAATAATTCACTTTAGCTTATTGAGAAGATCTGGAAAAGATTTTTTGAACATTCTTTTTTCGAGGTGATGAAACGGTAGAAAACTTAAGACTTCGTAAGGGAATACTTATTTGTAAATTGGCATCTCTATATAGCCAAACTATGTACACATCTTTTCTTCAACGCACCATTTGCACAAATCTTTGTGTTGTGGTACTTCTGACCTTCATATTGTGTTTCTTTGCGATTCTTTCACGTCTGCCATCTGTCTCTACAACGCTGTATCACTTGCCTTCTCTGACATCAGATGTATCTTTTTGCTATTTGATGTTTTAACGCAGAAAAACGGATTTTTATATACTACTGATAAATCTTAGCAGTAGTGACAGATTCTACAAAAGTAGTTTGTACATTTCTAGCTATCGACAAGGCAAAAAACTAATCACATGACAACTAAATTGTAGGTAATTGAGAGGGACATTAGACGTAATACTGTGTTAATAAGTCGCAATAAACTGTTGACGATATTACATACATTTAAGGTGACAGAAATTATAGTGTTTCAAAAAAAAACATGGTTTGTGTAAAAATTACTTTTCCGCAAAAGCTGCCACAGCCCTTGCGAAGCATATGTAGAAATCGCATTAATGCAAATAACACGTTACTGAGAATAGCTAATTAATTATGATTGGTGAAGAGAAAGATAACCTTCCTAACTGCATCACTTCCTGCACCTGTGGAGAGGACAAAGAGGGGAAATCAATCGAAGAGGCTATAAAGTTACTTAGATTGAGATGGCTAGGTCACGTGCTGCGCATGCCTAACCATCGCCTCCCCCTCCCGACGGGCATTACTAGCTGATATAGGTGCAGGTTGGAAAAGAGTAAGTGGTGGTCAAACAAAAACATGGCCTCATCAATCCATGAAATCCTTGACAGTCAAACTGAGTCAGATAGGGAGGGAGATGCAGACTTCCGGGTTGGGGCCCGTCCTCGGGACTCTAAGAATCAATGGCTGGAGACAATAGGTGACATGGCTCAAAATCCTCGTTGTCAATGGCTTACGCAGATGTATTGAGTCTCTGTAATCTTTCATATTCCTTTCTACCATTACTCATTCATTCTGTTTCACTGTTATACTTGTCAAAACTCTATTGATTCGCTTCACTCATCTTCTTGTCTACCTTTGTGTGGTATTTGGAACGTGGCAACTGGAACTGCTGCACTTCGGTGCCAAGTTCTATGTTGAATCCAGACAGACAGACAGAATTACTACAGTTATTCATGTAGTATAATGAGCCATTCACAGTCTCACCATTTTAAGGTATGTACTCAGCTAGATAGCTCAACAAACGCATTCCTGAGCATCTTCATTCATAGTTCAGAATGAGCCAAATGAAGTCCATAAGACGCACTATTTTGTTTGTCTGACTGAATGACTGACTAACTGGTTTCAAGCTAGAATAACTTTGCACAGATGTGCACCAGTTCAACTCGCCACAATACCTCTATGCAGCATACAAAGCAAGAGAAAATAGTTAAAAGAGATAACAAACAGTAGTGTGAGTGAGGGAAAAAGAATTGTAGCAATATGAAAGGAGAATAGAGTTCAACTGGATATGCCAAATCACAAAGAGTGGATGCATCTCCACCAGCTATTGACAACGATTTCCAACCATATCACCAACTATCTTAGAATCCTGAGAACTCCAACCAGTCAGGAGTCTACACCTCTCCACGTGGTTGGCCGGCTGGCTTAAATTACCTGTTACGGATTTCATTGACTGATTAAGCCATATTTTCGTTTCCCTCCTAACTTAGCACTCGATCGATGCCTAACCTCAATATTACTTTACCCTGTTATAACAGTACAGAACACAGACACCTATGATCAAAGACAGATATCTTGCTTTTCCATGTCTTCTATTTCCAATAACCATGTTTCACTTAAAGCCATAAAGGAGGACAGAGAGAACTGTTGAGCAGTAAACACGTCCTTCGGTCGATAGCCAGCCAACCGGATATCACGTCTACTAAACTAGAGATGGCGTAAGTTACCTAATAAATCCTTAAACGAGCCTTCTGTATCCGTGCTCAGATTTCATCAGCGATCAATCACTCGGTAGGGTTGGTTGATGCGACTTACCAAATAAGTGAATTGGTCAAATCGCTCTGCGGCTTCAACTTTTATCTTTAAAAAAAGGGTCCGTGTGCTCCATACCTACATCATCATTTCACAGTTGACACAAGTGAATTCCATGGCAAACATTCGTAGACTGCTGGTCTTCAAGGTGTTTATTAGATGCTGTATTTTGTTACCTAGGTGGGAGGGCCTATATCGCGAGCATTTGTATTATCATTCTGTCTGTTTTCGACATAGAACTTTGCACATATTGTGCGGCAGTTCAAGTCGCCACACTTCCTCCTTGTAGCACACGAAGCAAGAGAAGAAAGCAGAAGAAATGCATATTAGAGACAGCAAACAAAGGTATGAGACAAAGGAATAGTAATAACGAAGAATAATACAGTTCCATTGGAAATTATAAGTCACAAGGAGTGGATGCATCTGCACCATTGAGAACGATTTTGAGCCATGTCACCAATTGCTTCCAACCATTGGTTTTCACCGTTCCGAGGACCCCAACCAGTCAGGAAGTCTACACCTTCCTACGTGGCTTAGACTAACTCTTGTGGATTTCATTGACTGGTGCCATGTTTTCGTTTGACCGCCGCTAGCTCTTTTCCAGCCAGACCCTATATCAGCTAACATTGCCAATTGTCGAGGAAGGCGATGACTAGGCATACGTAATACATGTCCTAACCATCTCGGTCGATGTAATTTCACAGCCTCGTCGACTGATTTCTCCTCCTTACCTAGCACTCGACGCCTTACCTTGATATTGCTTACCTTATTATGCCACTTCACACGGGAGATAGAACGCAGACACCTATGGTGTATTGTCATTAACATCTATCGACAATACTTCAGCCATGAATTTGCATTCACTTATATAAAAAGCATTAAATTAAAATAAAAAGTTTAAAACAACTACCAAAGGATAACTGCGGTGGTTCTCAGGCCCTCCTTCTTACAAAAGTGGCTTATAACAAAGCAAAACTCACTTGTTTTAATAGAGAAGAAAGAATCGCAAGAAACTTGTTCATTATCCATAGACAAATCAATCCCATATGAAATACTGACTGACATGTCTCTTTGCTGACAGCTTCCTGTGAACTAAGTTTTGGCAGTGATAAGACACGCTCGACTGGTTCCCATGCACGTGAACTATTCAACACTAGATTCAGTATGAACTCAGATAGAATAGGCAATTCATAAGGAATTAGATTTTCTAATTTTATACTTGGAATAATTAAACCAACTCCAACTATCCGATTGATTATTTCATCACGTAGTCCAACCGGGGCTTGATTAATGAATTGTTCAATTGATGTTTGAGTCAAATCCTTCTCTTGTTGATGATTGTCACTTCCAGTACTTCCATCATTTAACCATCGATTCATATGCTCAATAAGTATGAGAAAATGCAGTGTACTTGATGAGCACAAGGTTTGATTATTTTGATCAAAACAGGATGACATAATACCGTTACTGCTTAAACAGGTCAGCGATGAAGAGATTGGATCGATAAGAGGACCAGACATTGAAGAAAAGCGTACCAAGCATGATAATGTACGTGAACCGAGTAGATCTGAACCACGAACCCATGTATGTAACTAGTTCAATCAATATTCAATGAATGTCAAATGAAAATGAATGATAAAAATAATTTTAATTATGAAGCTTGATGACTGTTTAAAATTCAAAATGGCGCTACATTATTAGTACACACAAGGAGAACTTAGCAGTAAATCCACCCAATTCAACTTACTCAATATTATTATAACATTTCCAATTATGGTGGAATGGATTATGCGGAACCACGTTGGTGGGGAGGGGTGGCGAGAAAACAGGAACACGTTGAACCGATAAGACGAGTTTAGAAGATCTGGACTTCACGGATAATTTATGTCTAATGCCATATACAAACTTGAAGACTTACTGGTGAAAATTAACAAGTTGGCTGAAGAAGCAGGCAGCAAAGACAGGTCTTCGAGTGAATATATGGAGGAAGAAGAAGGTGATGATGATGATGACAACCAATCACCATCAAAAGAACACATTTGAAAGAGGTTACTTCTTTTAATTATCGAGGCAGCATCATTTCAGCTGATACGTAGTGTTGCGATTTGATCGATGCATGACACTACGTATCATCACTGAACAGAGCTTGGAATGGCAGACAGCTTTCTACGTCTACCTCAACTTCATCGACTTTGAAAAGGCCTTCGACAGTGCCGATCGAGAGGTGATTTGGAAACCACTTCGCTACTACCAAAAGGGGCCGCCAACAATTATAGGTTTCATCCAACAGTTGTACGACAATGCTGTATGCCAAGTAATCCACAACGGGACACTTAGGGAATCCTTCGAAGTGAAGATGTGAGTAAAACAAGGCTGGCTGGCTGGCTGGTTGCCTACTATCTCCAATGTTTTTCTTGTTTTCGATAGACTGGATAATTCGACAGACAGCGAGCAGTGAGGAAACAGGCATAAAATAGACCCAAACAAAAAACTTGGAGGATCTCGACTTCGCCGATGGCATATGTCTGGTTTCTCACAAACTGGAAGATATGCAAGCGAAAAGCAACAACTTGGCAGAAGAATCATCCAAAGAAGATAGAACTTCCTTCAGTCGAACATAGAGAAAACAGAGGTGATGAAGATTCCTGGCCAACAGCAACAGCGACAACAACAGACAACAATCAGCATAAATGGGAGAAATCTGAAAAAAGCAACCTTATTTACCTACCTACCTACCTGGGAAGCATCGTTTCAACTACAGGCGTACGGAACTGACGAGGATACCAAAGGGAAGATCGGGAAAGCTAGGCAATCTTTCACTACTCTCAAGTCTGTGTGGAAGTCAACAACACTCAGCATCAAAATGAAAATAAGATCCGGATTTTCAACTCCAATGTGAAGTCAGTGCTACTTACTATACGGATTATAGACTTGGCTCGTCATGAAGAGCACTTCGAACAAACTACAGACCTTCATCAACAGCTGTCTACGCTCAATACTACTCAAGATCAGATGGCCGACCAGAAAACATCAGCAACAGTGAGAGATCTCTGGGAACGAACAAACTAGGAACCAATTGTGCAAGAAATATGCAGGAAGAAATGGAGGTGGATTGGCCATACTCTGAGAAAACACATCCTCAAGTGACATCACACGTCAGGCCGTCACTAGAGTAGAACCCGAACGGGAAGCGGCAAGTTGGTCGTTAGTGCGAGGGTGACATGGAGGAAGTGATATGAAGAGGAGATGAAAGCATGTGGGCAGACGTGGAGGCAGGTGAAAATATTGTAAGAGAACCGAACGCAATGAAGACGTTTGGCTGAAGCCCTGTGCTCCTCTAGGAATTAAAGGAAACAATAATAGTAATAATAATAATCGTTTCAACTACACACAGTTAATACGGGTAAGGATGTTAAAGCCACCCAGGATCAGAAAGGCGGGACAGATAATCATCACTTTGAAAGTCTGTTGTACTATGCATAAAGCATAAAATTAGGATTTTCAACACCAATGTTAAGTCAATCATTTTTTCTATAGGAGTCAGAAATTTGGTTTTCACGTTATCAACGCATTTTTAACAATCTATTGCAGATCTTTATCAACATCTGTCTTCGCCGACTTCATACTGAAAATCAGGTGGCCATAAATATAATCAGCAACCAGAAACTTCGAGAGCAAACCAAATCAAGCATCCATTGAAGAACAAATATCCCGAAGGAAATGGAGGTGGATAGAACACACCTTGAAAAGACCGTTGAATGACATCAGACGCCAGACCATCGCTTAAGTGCAACCCGAATGAGAAACGAATAGTTGGGCGTCTATCCAAGCGTGATACAGAGGAGATCGTGTGAGGAGGAGGAGATGAGAGACTATGGACAATCGTCGGGTCAGATGAAGTAGCTCACAAAGAATAGGACAATATGGAGATGTCCTTTTGAAGTCCTGTGTACTACTCGGAATGCAAAGGGATAATAATAAGGTACAGATATTCATCAGAAGAGCGTCTGCTTGGAACTCAAATGAGACAGACCTCAATCGTAATGTTGTTAAATAAACATTAAAGTTTGTCAATTCTCGCAAACGGAATGGTGGATTACATTTATCTAAGCATTTCTATATCAATGTTGTTAATAATCTGATATTTCAAGGTAGTGAATGCAATGGCAATTCTTAAAGAGATGTTAAACAGAGAAGATTATTGATAGAAATAGCTTCATTGCCAGCTTCACTCAAAAAAAGAAGCAAAGCAACCATAAACCGTTGGGTAGAATACAAAGTTTCTTGTCTCTGATGGTCGTCAGTTAACATTCTGATAACCTTTCATAATAGGTTTATCAAACAGACTGTGTGTGACCGGCCTCAAGCCAAGTTGTTTCCTGGGCTCTCTAGCCACACAGCATTAATTCTCTTTCTATTTCAGGTATCCCAAGAATAAATTAACTTCTACTGCGTGAGCAGTCGGGAAGTAAAAACTGCCTACACACTTCCAAAAGCACACAAAACCCTTCTGACCATCTTTCTCTTGTATTTACGTGACCCTCATCCACTCTCTACTAAACATTGGTCATTGTAATTCTTTCACACCTTAACTGGACATACGCGCACTATTTAATCTGACTGTGAATCGCCGTTGACACAGGTCTGATCTAATCAAGCACAGTGACAGTATACTTAACGTCATTCAGCCTTAAACACCTCATAATTTGATGTCTGTGTTTTAGGATTTTACGCGTAACTCGAACGTTTGGTTTAATTGTTCTTGGAAGAAATCTACACTCAAATTACAGTTAATTCAGATAATACCCTTTAACAGAATGCTACAATTTCTCCTTCTGCTTCTGAACAAATGAATTAGACAATCAGAATTCACGAACAGGAGTCATGTCATCATTTTATTTTCTTATAACCTCATTTGAAACCCCACCGACACACATACACTAACATACTCACACTCACTCGTGAATTCTCTCATTGAAATTTCTAAACGCAAAACACGTCAAGAGAATAATCAATAAATATGGAAACCACCATAAGGATGCTATCATCATTAATAAGTCAGTATAAAGTGTTTAACATACCTTAACAAAAAGTAATAAAGTCCGTGGAAACACATCGGATCCCATAACATGATGCCACTTAGAACTAGGCCGAAAACGAGTTTCATGATCAGTACGTCGTATTCGGCTAGCATGAAAGCCAACAACTACAATCAATAGAAAAGTGAGTAAAAGGCAAGAAAGTATTAACTTTAATAAAAAGCGAGAGATATAAAGATATCCTCTTGAACAAAGAAATTCAGAATAAAACTATATACTACTGACTGATCGAAATGAGTAGTTGTAAACCACTTATATAAACTGGTAGGTAGTGCTTTCTGAGCTAAGTCAAACCGGCTATAACTGTGATGAGCTCGAGAGAAACGGCCATTCGCTGTTTAGATCGCCTCTACCTGGCTGGCTAGCAAGCACTACTGGTTGATTTAAGTAACACACAACTACTTATATCAATCAATCAGTACGATAACGCGTCAGGCATGCTTAGGCTTGGTATCTTGACCACCCATTTACGGTATCAAGAAGATCACATATTGTTTGTGATTTGAATAGCTTCCGGTTTCCAAAGGAAACAACAATGTGATAATGCTATATGTCAAGGGATTCATGACGGACGGAAACCTCAACTAAGCCTCTAAAGCGAAGACAGAAGTAAGACAAAGCTGCCTGCCTACTATCACCGCTGATGATACTCCTGACTGTGGTGGACTGGATTACGCGGAAGACTGTGCACAGCGAGCGAGAAGACAGGATTACGTTTGACCGAGAAGAAGACTCTTGAAGATATTGACTTCGCGGACAATTTATGTCGAAGATGTACAAGTGAAAATTTACATGATGGCAGAAGAGGTAGGTGGTGGTAGTGAAGACAAGACCTAAACTACAACAATAAGCACTAATCAATATCAACTGGAAAAAAACTCAAGGAGATACTTCCCTTCACTTATCTAGGCACCATCATTTCAACTACAGTTAGTCGGCACGGATGAGGATGTCCGAACCAGAATCGGAAACGCAAGATGGAACTTAGTCATTCTGAAATGAGTTTGGAAATCTACTGCAAGCAGTATTTAGGAGGAAAGTTCGGATTTTCAATACTAATTTCAAATTAGTACTTCGAAATGGTTCTAAGACTTGATGTGTCACCACAAACATTTAGGACAGGCTGCAAATTTTATCAATAGCTGCCTTCACTGCACAATGAAGAGCAGATGGTCATAAAGAATTAGCTAAAGGGAATGGACCAACCAAGAACCTTATTATTATTATTATTATGGTTCCTTTGGGCTTCAATAGCACGTCTCCACTTTCTTCTATTCTCTGTTGTCCTCTTCAGCTCAGTGCACGATTGACCAGAATCTCTCATCGCCTCCAACTCGCACGATCTCCTCAATGTCACCCTCGCATCGACGGCTCGCTTCCCATTTGGATTCCACTCGAGCGTTGTCATATGATGACCTCCTCCTCAACGTTTGCCCGATCCATTTCTATTTTCTCCTACATATTTGTTGAGCAATCGACTCTTGGTTGGTTTGTTCCTAGCCAGAGTTTCTTGTTGCTAATTCTTTCTTTCTTCTGACCAAGAATCTATTGCTGAACAAATATGCCGAAGAAAATGCAGATGAATAGGACACCCTCTGAGAACACCACTGAATGACATCGCGTGCAAGGACCTTGAGTGGAACCCAAAATGAAAAGCCGAGAGTCGGATGTCCGCCGAGGTGACATGCAAGAGATCGTATGAGGAGGAGATAACAGCTTATACGCAGAAAACAAGATGCAATGGAGATGTTATGTTAAGGCGCTATATTCCACTCGGAGCCTAAGGTAATAATGATCATAATGTAACAAGAACTACTGTGGAGTGTTATCATACACAAGCTGAGATTTCGTCTACTATTACTCTGATAAAGCTATTAGAACTATTTCGTGAAACGTCATCAAGAGCCGATCACCGAACTAATATGTAGGAGAAAATGGAGATGCACTGATCGGTAAACTCTCACAGTGTTATACAGTAATATTTACTGATGACGTTTCGAGCACAATTTATTGTTCATAATCATATCAAGTTAATCACACGACTTCCTAAATTCATTTATATAGTTCCATTGTTTTTCACTTGATTTGATTGGTTGTAATATTTTCCATATCTCGGGTATGAGTGATGATTCATTCCTATTGCATGTGTTGGGTGTAGATTCGATGAACAAAGATTCAGTAATCAACCTCTCTCTCCACCTACCTAGATTACTCCAACCCTATTGTGTGGTTGTGTGTTAATGCATTCATTGCAATTGCCGAGCTTTTTTCTAAATTACTTATCTTCTCTGGGTCAACCATTCTTACCTTAGCTAAATTCTTATGTTCTGACAATCTGACTACCGCTGACCTACTAGTTTGACCTATGTAGTTGACCTCACAGTCATTGCAGGGTATTTTGTAAATTATATTATTTTGTCTAACCGGGTCAGCTGGGTCCTTTAACCTACAAAGCTTGTCCCTGAGTAAGTTTGTAGGTTTAAATGCCACCCTAATTCCTGCTTTATTAAGAATCCTACTACGTAAGGTTTCAGATGTCCCCTCCTTATATGGTAGAACTGTAGATGCCTTATATTCTCTCTTATTCATGTTATCACTATTAGTTTCACCATTTTTTTTAATTTTGCTTTTAACCTTTTCTGATCTTCCTAATGAATTTTATAGGATAGTTATTTGATATCAACGCTTCTTCTATCTGTTCCATTTCATCATTTAGGTCTTTACTTGTACTACTTAGTGCTATTGCTCGGTTTGTTAGACACTCAGCTAAGCCTGCCTTAACAGTTAACGGATGAGCTGAATTAAAGTCTAAATATCTGTTAGCAGAATGCGTTGGCATTTTATAAACGCTAGTATGCAGTTTACCTTCTTCTATTTGTTTTATTTTACAATCTAATATGATAGCTAATTCTCCTTGTTCATTTTTCGATTCAAATGTGAATTTTATTCCCTTCACTAGTGGGTTTATGTGTCAAGAAGCTACAGATATGTTCTGTTTCTAACACTGTGTGTGAAAGTGTCAGTTATCAACATATCTCCACCATATTTTTGGAGTAGGACTAAATGTTGTATTAAGAGCAATATTTTCCCAGCTGTCCATAAATACATCTGCTACGATAGGGGATATTGGTGGTCCCTTTGCTACACCTTCTGTTTGTCTATAAATTTTGCCTTGGAAATATGGAAAATACTACTACCAACCAAATCAAGCGATGGAAAACAATGGAATTATATAAACGAAGTAAGAAAGTTGTGTGAGTACCTTGATATGATTGTGAGCAATAAATTGTGCTCGAAACGTCATCAGTAAATATTACTGTATAACACTGCGAGACTTTATCAAAATAAATTCTACCCCTAAATGGAATTATACTCTACTACAGTGAACAAGTTTTATTCTTATATGAATGCATTGATAGAGCATACGTCGAGGAGGCCGTCGAATAACATCGCGCGCAATGAACGACGAGAGGGTTATCCGTGCGAGGGTGACAATGGAGGAGATCGTGTGTTGGGGAGGAGGAGATGAGAAATTGTGGTCAATCGTGGATCCAACTGAAGAGGACGGCAGAAAATAGAAAAAAGTGGAGACAGAATGCTGTTGAGGCTCTATGTTCCATTTGGAGCACAAGGGAATAATAATACTAATAGTGAGACACCAGTAAAAAGTTTGATTTTCCCTTCCATTCCTATTGGGGAATAAACACATATAAGATTACTGCTTAACTTCCACGATACAGCTTCCTTTAAATTTAACTCACGGAAACTAATTCGGAGTCTTATTGCGCTCTTTGTTACCCAATTCAAGATACTGATTTGTAATCAAATATCTTTACTATCGAAAAATCCTTGTTTCAATCAGTCCCACAATTTGAGCCCCCGACCGATAACTGCTACCTTGCCGTGGTGGTTGGGCTTGAATGCCGCAGTGACCCAACAAGCTAAACTGGCTGGGACTCATGTCCCTGCAGGTCCTACCATGTCAGGAAGGTTGTTTGGATAACGGTTAGACTAAAAGCAGTTACCATGGGGTACATGGTGTGAGACAAAGGAATAGTAATAACGAAGAACAAAACAGTTTCATTGGAAATCATAAGTCACAAGGAGTGGATGCATCTGCGCCAGCCATTGAGAACGATTTTGAGCCATGTCACCAATGGTTGGAAACAATTGGTGACATGGCTCAAAATCGTTCTCAGTGGCTGGCGCAGATGCATCCACTCCTTGTGACTTATGATTTCCAATGAAACTGTTTTGTTCTCCGGTATTACTATTCCTTTGTCTCACACCTCTGTTTACTGTCTATATTATGCATTTCTTCTACTTTCTTCTCTTGCTTTGTGTGGTACATGGAGTGTGGCGACTTGAACTGCCGCACATATGTGCAAAGTTCTATGTCGAAAACCGACCGACCGGGGTACATGGGCTCCAGAATTCAATCGGATCAAATGGCGTATGAACCCATATGGGACACCGGCAACCATGGGAACGCAGCTCCTGAAGCTGCTCCGCTGCCTTGCGGATTAGACTCCAAGTCAAAGGCTCGGGGGGTGGTCCCTTAGGAATACCACCTGCTTCGATCTGGGCTCCCGGGCAGTATCTCAGCCCTCACACAATATTGTGTGGCGCATCTTTCTTGGTGCCATATTGTACCAAGTTTTTCTGCGTTTAAATAAATAAAACAATTTGAGCCATCCGAAAAATAGGGAAACCTGAACTACTATAAGAACTACTAGACTCCACCCAGTTTCATTTTACTCAGTTATGAAGTCAACAAATAATTAAGAGAAGCCGTGAATTTAAAACAAAACAAAAAAAAGAAAACTCACGTTCACGAGGTAAAAAATCCCAACTTGTAATCATATCCAAAGCGTTGATAACTCTAAATACAACTTCACTTTGTCCATTACTGAGTTGTGAACAATCCAATGAAGACCAATACAACAGGAGTTGATTGGCAAGACAAAGCAAATTTTCAAACAGCCGAGGAAGTTCATAATCCTGGAAAATAAGTGATAAATTTACTCTTTTTCAACTGTTGGTTATAGGATTTCATCATGAGTTGACAGCAGTTAGAGAACCATTGGAAAACTAACCAGAGGGTACTGGACAGTCAGCTGTTTCGTCCTAGCTTGAGACTCTTCATCTGTACGCACCTACACCAGGGTTTGAACCCAGAACCTTCCGGTTACAAGGTGAGCAAACTATTAGACCATTCAGTCAGTGGGACCGGACTCCGATGGCCCATGAATTTCAACTACTATCAATACTTGATTGCGGTGTGACCACAAGCTAATACTCGCTAGTGGCTGGCTACCGGACGAAGTTGCCCGGGTTCTAGTAAGAAATTGTGGTCAGTTGCATCCACCAGACCGGGTGTGATTTCCCTACTGTTTTTAATCTTAGTTTAATCAAAATAAAAAAAGTATGAGATAAAGTCATCAATTAGAAATCAATGTGTACCTGAAATCTGGCCCGTAAGAAAATATGCGCTTCCAATGGTAAATTTAGTTGGGCACTGTCTTCAGAATAAGAGAATTCATCCAGTAGTGCAGATAAGATGAATAAACCTAACAATCCTCGTTTAAGAACAGGATCCTGAAAAAGAAAAAGAAAACAATGAGAAATATGGAACAATCATACGCTAGGAAATTATATCATACAAGAAACACCTTATAAGGTAAATAACAGTTATCCAGACCCATATCTATCGAAGGCTGTAAACACTGTCATGCGAAGCACATTTAGTAGTAGTCTCTAGTGCAATAAATGCAAATCGACTAAATAAATTTAAACATAAACTTCTAGAATTTCGACACAGCGATATTTGATTGACTATAGACACTGAACTAGCTCTCATATAACTAGTTGCTTGCACTAATAGTATTAATAATATAATATATATTATTATATTATATTTTTTATTCCCTCACGTTCCCAGTGGAACATAGGGCTTCAATCTAGAGGCTTGAACTTTCTGTAGCAGTGGTGGTTATTTTTACAGGATGGGGTTGCTAGCCTCATGCCGAAACTTTCCTCTTTACCAGCTTTTATTACTGGCTTAGCGGGGTAAAGGGGTGCATCAGCCGGGGATCGAACCCCTGACCATGTTCATGGTCGGCGAGCGTCCTAAACGCTGTGCCACCGATTCACAAATCAACAATATTTTCTGCTGTCCTCTCCAGTTGGGTTCACGATTGACCATAATCTCTCATCTCCTCCTCCCCAACACACGATCTCCTGCATTGTCACCCTCACGCCGACGACCCACTCGTCATTTCCCACTGGGATTCCACTCGAGCGATGACCTGCATTCCGTGCGATGTTATTCGACGGCCTCCTCAACGTATGGGCGACCAATGCATCTCCATTTTCTCCTACATATTTGTGGAGCGATCGGCTCTTGCCTGTTGGTTTGTTCCCAGAATTTCTCGTTACTAATTCTTTCTGGCCTGCCATTTGTTCTTCACTATGGAGCAAAGACAGATGTTGATGAAAGTCTGCAATAGGCTGTTGCAAATCATTTTCTTGATACACACAGAGCAAGTTTTTAACCCGTATAGAAGGACTGACTTCACATCTGTGTTGAAAGTCCAAGTCCTGTTCTTTATGCTGCCAGAGCGCAGAAGATCTCCAAACTGGTTTCAGGTTGATGAAGGCGTATCTTGCCTTTCCAATTCTAGCTGACCAGCTTGTGACATCCTTATCCGTTCCGACTGCCTGTAGTTGAAACGATGCTTCCTAGATAAGTGAAGAAATTAACCTTTGTTAAATCTTTTTGATTGCACACTAGTCAGTAACTAGTGTAATGTGTCTAGTCCTATCTTCGGTGCAGACTGAATCCGATCAGTCATGTTTGCAATGTGGCCACCATACTAGGTGGCTAACCATTACGGTGCACTGTGAATTGTTGGTATTAGATGGTTGGAGGCAATCGGCAGGAAGCTTTGGACCTAGGTTTCGTGCTAGTTGGCACTCGTCAGCAAGGCGTATCTGCAACCTTGAAGGAACTGATGTCCCTTCTGAGATTCGAACCCGCGTCACCCAGTGCTGCAGTCAGAGACGTTACCACATCAGTTCCTTCAAGGTTGCAGATACGCCTTGCTGACGAGTGCCAACTAGCACGAAACCTAGGTCCAAAGCTTCCTGCCGATTGCCTCCAACCATCTAATACCAACAATTCACAGTGCACCGTAATGGTTAGCCACCTAGTATGGTGGCCACATTGCAAACATGACTGATGGGACTCAGTCTGCACCGAAGATAGGAATAGACACATTAGATTAGTTGCTGACTAGTGTTCAATCAAAAATATCCAATACAGTCATACAGGAGGTCAGTCGCGAGCCTGAATAGCTCAGTGGTAACGTCTGTGACTGCAGGCAGAACTGGGTGACGCGGGTTCGAATCTCAGAAGGGACATCAGTTCCTTCAAGGTTGCAGATACGCCTTGCTGATGAGTGCCAACTAGCACGAAACCTAGGTCCAAGGCTTCCTGCCGATCGCCTCCAACCATCTAATACCAACTTTGTTAAATCTCTCCCATCGATGACGACTGGTGCTGGTTGTTGTTGTTGCCGTCTGTTGGTCATCTTCATCACCTTCGTCTTCTCTATGTTCACCTGGAGTCGTATCTTCATTGCTTCTTCAGCCAGTTTGTTGGTTTGTGTGACATTAGACATAAACCATCCACACGCGAAATCCAGATCTTCTACATGGAGTCTTCTTGTCGATAGTCCAGTGCATTCCGCTCTCCTTGCTCCCTACGGACAATCTTCCGCATAATCCAGTCCACCACAATTAAGAATATCACCGGTAATAAGGGGAAACATTGAAAGTTAGCGGGATATAATGAATAATAGATAATACATGTAATAATAATAATAATCTTTGCTTATACTTTGTAGTTCATTTTTTCTGACATCCACCTCTCTTCATACAAAACCCTGTTCTAAATATGGTGGTATGGTAGAATTTTTATATTTATTAGTTGTACGAGCATAAATTCTTATGAAGTTTCTTCTTCTGGTTTTACCCAAAAAGATACAAAGGAAAGACTTGTGAATGAAGAGGATGTTCAGTATAGGACAAGATAAGTTGAGCCAAATGCCTGCATAAATTGAATTGCCTACGGACGATAATGTCAGTTAGTTGAGTCAAAGCCACACACCACTAACCCTACATAACAGCCTTCAGTGTACTACCTATCATAACAAATGTCTTTCTTGAGAAGCCCGGGGAAGAATAAGGGCGAACCACAAAGAAGAATGGGCAGAATACATGAATAAATAAATCATAAGAGAAGGGGTTGAGTTATGCTCCAAAAAGTTTCAAAATAACATTTATTTTAAGACCATTTGAAACAGGAATTATCAGATCATCAGCTTGTACACGATAACGTGCATGTGTAAGTACACAGACGACTGAGCTAGTACTTACATTATATCAAAGTAATATTAGTTTTTTATGTCAGGAATGAATTATGAAATACCATTGAATGTACGTTCACCTTGTCAACAATATGGTCGAGGTCAGAACAGTATTTCAGAGAAATTCAATAACTTGTTATGAGACTATACGGTCAGAAATACTGAAGCTAACTTACAATTTTTACTTTTACCTGTTATTCAGAGGAAAATTCAACGTTGCTGGAAAGTACTACTACTTGGAGTTAGTTAGTAGTCTGTCTGTCTGCAACGGCTTTAGCAAAGGTAAGGCCTAGCAAGCCTAGAAACATACAAGAGCACAATTCAAGGAACCAAATAACGAGCTTGACCACGGATTGGTATTAGTTAGAGAAGCATTGAAAACCAGGAAGTACTGGACAGCTGTTTCATCCTAGTTTGGGAATCATCGGCAGTACACACCCACCACCACGTTCGAACCCAGGACCTTCCGGTTACAAGTCAAGCTAGCTCGTACACCGTTCAGCCACTGGGACCCAATTTAATGCGTACTGCCGATGATTACCAAACTAGGATGAAACACCTGTCCAGTACTCCCTGGTTTTCAATGCTTCTCTAACTGATATCAATCCGTGGTCTAATTCGTATAAACAAATCTAATCCTTATAAACCAAACTCTTGAAAAGTAAATTGTGTATCACGCAAATTCAAATTTTGAATATTCAGGACCAATTTGAAAGATGAAGCTATCCAAATAATAATCAATAATAATAAAGACTGAAGTTGCTATTTATACTCAGTCTATTTCACCTCAACTTCTTTATGTGTCACCTTTCTACATTTTCTCTAACTGATTAACTGATTGGTTTCAACAAAGAACTTTGCACAGAAGTGCACCAGTTCGAGTCGCTACACTCCATGTAGCACACACCAAGGAAGACAAAAGAGAGAAGAAAGAGATTATTCGAAGGAAGAATGATAAGTAGAAATAATAGTAACATGGAAAAGCAATAGATCACAGAGAGTGAATGCATCTGCATTACTGACAGTGATTTCGAGTCATATTACCATTTTGTCTCCAGCCACTGGTTCTTAGGATCCCAAGGCCCCCAACCATACAACAGTCTACACCTTCCTACATGGCCAGAACTAACTAATAAGGGTTTCATGCACAGGAGCTATGGATTTGTTCGACCACCAGTAGCTTTTCTCCAACCTAATCCTACACGTCAGCTAACATCGCTAGGCATGCAAAACACATGTCTCTCTTTACCTAGCACTGAACTGATGCCTTACCTCAATATTACTCACTATATTATACCACCTAATATGAGAGATAGGACGCTGACACTTATGATCAAAGACAATTAGTTATCCCTTTCACGTTTTACACTTTCAATGACCAGTTCTCACAGACAGCCAAAAAGGAGGACGGAGCGAAGTCCTGAGCAGTGAAAACGTCCTTTGATCAATAACCAGCCAGCCGGATATCACGTTTACTAAACCAGAAAGTGCCACAAAAACCTTCTGTATCCGTGGCGCTATTTCGTCAGTGATCAACCACACGGTAGAGCTGACTGATGCAACTTCCCAAATAAGTGAAGTGGTGGTCAACACGCTTTACCATTACACTTCCATCTATCCCTATCACTCCCTGTTAAACAAAAAGCTTTGTTTAAACGTACCATCTTATGTGGGTCTAGAGTACCAAAGCAGACATTACTTCGCACACACACACACACACAAACAGATATTTTGTTTCCACTTACCTGATCATTATTAACAGCAGATATATCGGATTGTGTAAGCGGTTGAAGTAAATCTTCTACATATTCGATTAATTTCAGCATTAACCAACACGCTGGTCCCGGATCATCTGGTGGTGTAGTAAGAATTCGAGATGATAGGCGGAATTTCTGTGGGAAAGTTACATCAGACTTTGACAAACGCCAGGCAGCAGCTATCTTTTCAGCATTCGCTGCTGAAGCTCTTTTAACCAGTGTTCCAGCTGCACTTAATATCCGTTGACGAGCTGCGGGACCACACTGCAACAATAAAGAAATGATTATGCAAGCGAATAACTATTAGTACAATGACTGAAATAACTTTTTACAGAAAAGCTGGAAATAATATGAACTTATTTGCAAACATTTTATCTGTAGGCACCAAGAAGACGCTCCACAAGATAATAACAACAAAGCAACATATGAGAAAAAAAAAGTAGATAGAGAATGAACATAGGACTTTGCCCAGAAAGGAAGCAGCCATGTTTAACAAGACCAAACAACATTCGTCAAATTATTGTCAAAAAGAAAAAACAAGGAAACTGTAGTACATTCGCCATCCTGGCCATATCGGATAACGTTTCGTACTACCGATTCGAGGTATCTCTCGGACATCACAACCAGGGAGTCACGATTTACCACCAACCAATACTAACCTACCACAAATATCCTTTATTCCACGACGCCACGTCACTAGCTGGCTGACCACCTCTCCACTCTTTCCATCCCATCTTAGAGCTGGCTAGCGAACACAGATCGGTACGGAAGCCTCTGAGATGACATTGGTAGCACATGTTCAAGCCACCGAAACCGGTGTTTTCTGATGATGACACTCTATCAATAGTGATATCCACTGTGTCCAAACACATGTCCGGGCGTCTTTTTAGGCTGGTTATTAACGTACCATCCGTTTCACAGGCCGTCTAGCTGACACCTTGCTTATGGCTGTCAGTGGCTTGAAAGGGCTGGAACAGCTGCTTCCAGCTTTTGTCAGATGCAGCTGCTGATTCCATCTCACATGAACATTTTGACCACCAGGCTTTACGGTTCTTAGATAAACACTGTTTAATCTTGCACGTAAGCGCCCTTCTCATTTTGTTGTTGTATTTACTGTCTGCCGGAATGGGCGGGTGTTTATCCAGCAGTTGCAAGGAACTCGTAGAAACTCAGTGGTTTTTAGCGGAACATTCTTTTAAGCCGCAAGCGACTTCACTCACCATTTGTATGGCACTTTGCAGATGTAGCTAATGTTTATTGATACCACTTGGAGGATTGACAGCTAGCGTTGATTGTAATTTCACTCTGGTATTTCAAAGAAGGTAACAGGTGCTACCAGTTTGCTCACATCAACATGTAGGTGACGCCGTTTATGAATCCCATCAAATCGTACGACAAACCTGGTACACACTAAAGCATAATCGGAGTCCAGGCATATTTTCCAGAGGGAGCAGCAGTCTCGTATGCATCCTCGCCATCTGGAACTCACAGCACTACGATCAGTTTGAGTCCATGCTTGATTGGTAGAGTGAAGACGCCAGGTAGCGCTACGGTGATGGTTTTGCTATATAGCAGGTGAACAGTAAAGTCACTTAATTTCTACCAACAGGTGGCACATAACTCTTATAGACGGTATCAACGCACAAGTTCACACAAACATAATTCGAAAAATCACAGAAATATGATAGAAATATGAGGACATTTCAATTTTAAAACACTTGTGAGAGATGATATCATTTAGTAGTAGCAAAGAAATTCACAACTCTGAAAATAATATATGATGAATGTACTTATACCTTGGCATATAAATGTAAGTCAAATAACATAGTGCTTCAAACCGTTTATTTTTAGTAAACTGAGGAACCCACTCAGGCGACCTACACATGCCCACATATTATTTATTATTATTTTTATTTTTTTTTAAATTATAGCTTGATTCCACACAGTATTTTGGTACAAGCATGAAATTTTCAGCATGTGATATCGGTAGCCCAAATTTAGCAGGCCGACCATAGATTTCAGGTGTGCGTCGGCGGGAGATCAAACCCTGGACCATGTGCATGGTCGGCGAGAGTCCTAACCGCTGTGCCACCGAGTGTAGCTTAGGGCTTCAATCTTCAGCTTTTAAGTTTCAACAGCAGTGGCATTTTCTACAGGGAAATGGGGTTGCAAACCTCACGCCAAACCTCTTCTCTTTATCCGGCTTACAACCGCCCAAGGAGGTAAAGGTGTGCGTCGGCTGGCAATCGAACCACGGACCATATGCTTGGTTGGCGAACATTTTACCGCTAAACCACTGATTCACAACAATTACTCACATAGCTAAGAATAACAATTACAGACTTCATGTCCCTCCACGCTTAACGTCAGCAATTGGATGGAAGGATGTCACTTGTGTTCAAAATATCATTGAACAGAGCATAGATGACGACCTTATCGGTAATAAGCTATGCGTTTAAGAGTTTTATGTGTTTTCTGTTCAGGCCAGTTTCTTACAAACACTTTCACACAACCCTGTGATATAAATACATCAACGATGACTAAGTGTTAAAGTGAAATGAGGGGTCCGATATTTTATTTCTCCTTATTTTAACCAGAAATAGATTCAGATTACACATTCTGATAACAAACATAGAATTATTCGGACAATTTAATTTGAGTGGTAAATGATCAGGAACACTTTCCAAGTGAAAAATGGGGCTTCAACAGCACATTTCCATTTAATGTCCTGTTCTCTGCAGGTCTCCTTACCCAGCTCGACGACTGTCCGTAATTTGCCACCTCCTCCACTTTACGTGATCTCCTCCATGTCACATTATGATCAACGCCCAACTCGTTGTTTTCTATTTAGGTTCCAATGAAGCGATGGCCTGCGGTGCGATGTGACCAGATGGTCTTCTCACATTGTGTCCAGGCCATCTCCATTTTCTCCTACATATTTGCTGAGTAATAGGTTCTTGATCGGTTCGTCCCCAGAGCTCCTTGTTGCTAATTCTTTCTGGCAATCTCATCTGATAACTATAGAGCGAAGGCAGTTGTTGTTCACACTCAATAGTAATACATAGTTTCACGTTCTACATTAAACAAACCTGGGGTGTTTTACTGACCCTCAAAGTCCACTGCGTCGGCGGTTCAGTAGTAGAATGCTCACCAACCCCACCCCCAAGTGGTTCGGGACTCAAATACCAGCCGACGCACTCCTAAACCTTGATATGCTGGCAGTAACACCAGGTAAAGAGGGAAGGCTTGGAGTATGATTCTAGCAACCCCACCCCGGAAAAATGACTCCAGTGCTACTGAAACCCCACAGCTGAAGCTTGAAGCCCTGTGTTCCACTAGAAACGGAAACGAATTTTAAAACAATTAACAGCTTACATAACTCAGCTACCCAGACAATTAAATATGAGGAAAATTATCATGTTAAAAAATTAAAACATTAAAATAACTGACAACCGGGGTTTGCAGGGATTCAATGGATTACAGGATTTGATTATGAACTGAAGTCGTTTAAAGAACCATTGGAAAACCAGCAAGGGGCCAGTCAGCTATCTCGTCCTAGCTTGGGACTCTTTATCAGTACGCATCCCCCTCCCAGTTACAAGGCGACCTCGTAGAATATTCAGTTCCTGGAACCCAATCTAATGGCCCATGAATTGACAGAAGCTGGAATTCATGGATCACTAGATCAGGTCCCAGTGGCTGATGAAAGGTTCACGACATCGCCTTGTAACCAGAAGGTCCTGGGGTTTGAACCCTGGAGGTTGGTGCGTACTATCAATGAGTCCAAAACTAGGCTGACGAAACAGTTGGCTGTCCAGTACTCTCTGGTTACTTTTAAAGTGGTTTCCTTATCGATATCAGCTCATGATGAAATCCTATGAGCCAAATTTCATTGAGAGGTATACCATTACATTCAGGAACAAAATATATTACTAAGAAACAGGCATAAGAAAAAGCTGGACAGATAGATACCTCAAATCCTCGGTTTTGTGACCATTCCAATATAATAGTAAGAAGCTGTAATGCTTTGCAGTTCTCTGTATTCTCCCATGAAGATGCAAAAATTGAATTCCATTCACGAACCACTGCATGCGATAAGCAACGACCAGCTTCATATAGTAGACAGTCATTGGTAGAACGAGCTTGAACAGAAAAGGAGAAATCAGAAAAAGCGAGTCATTAACGGAAACCTGAACTAGACTTTCATATCAGAAAATAGAATAGTGTACGTTACCTTCGTTGGCTAAAAACTTCAACTATTCGGATCAGCCAAAACAATTTTACTCTACACAACCAGATTTCATTAACAATTTGACCGGTGCGAAATCCCCAAAAAGACTAGCTTACCATTGTAGAACCTCAAGCAAAAGTTCATCACCTGAAGCCATCAAACTTTACAGAATCATACCATACACTAAGGAAATGAAATGCAATGAAACCAGAAGACAAAAATGTTCGTGAAAAAGGAAGACTAGTAGGGGTCATTAGAATCTAGAAGACCACAATGGAGTTGAATATATTTCCAACAATGAAAAAGATTCTCAGTCATTTCACAAATATTTTCCCAACAATCCACCCTGAGGACCTCAGTTAGACAGTCCACACCTCTCCCTGCATAACTCGAACAAATAGTCTTCATAGACTTCATAGACTGCGTCGGTGGCACAGCTGTGAGGACTCTCACCGACCATCCACATGGTCTGGGGTTCGATCCCCTGCCGACGCACACCCGATATCAATGGTCGGCCTGCAAAATTTGGACAACCGTTATCACATGCTGAAAATTCAAAACTTGTACCAAAAATATGGTGTGAAATCAAGCTATAATCAAAAAAAAAAATACTGGGCCTACACTTTCATCAGTTTATCCTGACAAAACAGATACAATACTTTTTGTATAAGAAAGACAAGAACTGTTTCAAGTACACGTCATGGTTAAATTTCAATAGAGTATCCATAAAACATATTATTGAAATGGAAGTCGATATTTTTACGCTACGCCACATTACAATAAAGTCTAAATAGTTGGTATTAGATGGCTGGAGGTAATCGGTCATACGAAGCCTTCAACCTCGGTTTCGTGTTTTTTGACACTTACCAGTCAGCAAGGCGTATCTGCAACCTTGAAGGAACTAATGTCCCCCCTTCTAAAATTCTAACGCGCATCACCCAGTGCTTCCTGCAGTCAGAGACGCTACCAATGAGTTATTCGGGCTCATGATTGACCTTCTGTAGAACTGGATTGGATACTTTGATTGGACACTAGTTAGTAATTAGTGTAATGTTTGGTGCAGACTGAATGCTGAGTCAAGTTTGAAATGCGACCACCATTCTAGATGGCTCCCCATCACAGTGCACTTTGAATTGTCGGTACTAGATGGCTAGAGGCAATCGGCAGAAAGCCCTGGACCTAGGTTTCGTGCTGCCGATTGTCTAAAATTGCCAACGCAACTAAGAGCAACAGTCAAATATGAAAGACGTTGCTTAATTTTAACTTATCGCTGAACTAATCCTAACTCAAGTAACATTTTACGTTGGGATGAAAGATGACTTCACGCACTAAACATACATTGCAACCATATCAACCAATGTTTTTTCGATTTACTTTAAAAACAAATTTATTAATGTACTAGTACCTAAAGAGGTCTCAAGACAATGAGGATGTTGCGAAGGTATGGATTTATGCGGAAAACAGCTCGTGACTTGCAGTCACATCACTTATTGTCTTCAGCCGTAAGTGCCCCATAAAATATACCCACGGTGCACAGACAGACAGCTAATAATCTCATAGACTAACATCACGTTTTCAATCCATCATCTTTATTTTCATTTTATTCAAATCCTACTTTCGCTAATACAGCACACTAAGAAAAAGTGTGTCCTAGCATGCGTAATACATCATCCACTAATCTAAAGCCTTGCCGACATAATCGTCATACTTGAAACTAACTCCTGCATTTCTCATGCTAACCTCGTTGTTATGGAAGATATAGCGCACTAATTTAAGAACTTGAATCTTAGCCAGAAGGTTCAGGTCCCTTTTTCTACAGGCAACTTTGTCAGTTCTAAATATAGCAGATAAAAAATCCGTATCGGATGAGTTCTAACGACGTGAAGAAAGTAGTGGAAATATTCTTCAAGTTATCTTACATTTTTTATTATATGCGATAATGTTTCGAAAGTAAACAGAACCAACTGTTTAGCAGAGCACAGCACTGAGATAGCATTCAGATGTATCACAATTTAAAAGACTGGCTGTTTAAACAATCAGTGCAGAACTTTGCACAGAACGTTACAATTTAACAGGAGCTATAACTAATGAGCCATTAGATACTAACTCAGTGGCTTAATGGTAACATGCCGGAAACTCTCAGTGCATCGCAAAACAGATCCAAGACAGCTGTCCAGTGTTGTATGACTTACAGTGATTATCTAACTAGTGTTAGGTAGACATGAAACCTCCCCCGGGATTAATCAAATCACCCTGAATCCAACTTAAAAGATCTTGATTTACTATTTTACCCACCTCATACATGTTTATATGTGGTGGTATCTAACTTTTCCGTCATTTTGTATTTCCTCAGAGTGATTGCACAGAAAACAGTAATAAGCGGATAAACGTAAGTCGAATGAAGACTGCAACTGATTTACACATGAGCTTTCTACGAGTTTTAACGTCGGTCGGTCGGTTTTCGACATAGAACTTTGCACACATATGCGGCAGTTCAAGTCGCCACACTCCATGTACCACACAAAGCAAGAGAAGAAAGTAGAAGAAATGCATAATATAGACAGTAAACAGAGGTGTGAGACAAAGGAATAGTAATAACGGAAATCATAAGTCACAAGGAGTGGATGCATCTGCGCTTACCACTGAGAACGATTTTGAGCCATGTCACCAACTGTTTCCAATCATTGGTTTTTACCGTCCCGAGCACCCCAACCAGTCAAGAAGTCTACACCTTCCTACGTGGCTTAGACTAACTGTTGTGGATTTCATTGACTGGTGCCATGTTTTCGTTTGACCGCCGCTAGCTGTTTTCCAGCCTAACCCTATATCAGCTAACATTGCTCGTTGAGTAAGGCGATGACCAGGCATACGTAGCACATGTCCTAACCATCTCAATCGATGTAATTTCATAGTTTCGTCGACTGATTTCCCCTCCTTACCTAGCACTCGACGACTTTTAACGTGATACATGCAAAGAAATTAGGGGCAGATGCCCACTCACTTTTATCTGAGTTCTAGAACGTTTACTCTACCAACCCATACTCGAAGTTTGAATTCCCAGTGACTTAAAACAAGAAGCAATCAATGATGTCTGGAGTTAAAAACGCGATAGACTTGTTGGCCGCTTTTTGATGCACACTGCAATTCCTAACTCTATTACCAATCCTACGAAAGGCCCAGAATTTAAGTCAGTTTTTTGACTGCATATTTAATTCCAGTGGGGTACTGATTCTCCAAACGAGTAATAAAAACCTGGAACCATCTTCCACAAGTGGCTTCCGTCCGTTTAATTATATCCCTATTACTTATTAGGAAACGATTACCCCGCTTGAGGCCTACCCTCTAGACTCTAATCGGCAGTGACGCTTAAAACCGCGTATCAAAAAACGTTCACACCGTGAAATACTGCTACTGTCTTACACCATCAGTGGCTCAAGTGTGGTTCCTCGTGATCACTTAATCGGACTTATTTGGTGTTTTAAAAAGAAATAAGCTAGTTTTTAGTTTTCGGTTATCCTCTGGCAGAACCTGTGTTACTAATAATTATATTCAGATTCAGATTATAGGGATAGAAGGCTCTCATTGCCTACGTTAATCCTTACGATATATATCTCTGCACAGATCTAATTTCTCTTTGAAAGCGTTCACTCATGGAGCTGTTAATTCTGAATCAGGTAAGGATTTCCAGTCGTTGCTGCTGCTGCTGCTGCTGGATTCAACATAGAACTTGGCACCGAAGTACAGCAGTTCCAGTTGCCACGTTCCAAAGAGCACACAAAGGTAGACAGGAAAAGGAGAGAAGAGAATCAATAGAATTTAGATAAGTATAAGAGTGAAACAGAATGAGTAATGGTAGAAAGGAATATGAAGGTTAAAGAGACTGAATACATCTGCGTAAGCCATTGACAACGATTTTGAGCCATGTCACCTATTGTCTCCAGCCATTGATTCTTAGAGTCCCGAGGGCCCCAACCCGGAAGTCTGCATCTCCCTACCTGACTCAGTTTAACTGTCAGGGATTTCATGGATTGATGAGGCCATGTTTTTGTTTGGCCACCACTTACCCTTTTCCAACCTGCACCTATATCAGCTAGTAATGCCCGTCCGTCGGGGGAGGCGATGGCTAGGCATGCGCAGCACGTGGCCTAACCATCTCAATCTATGTAACTTCATAGCCTCTTCGATTGATTTTCCCTCTTTGCCCAACACTCTACGCCTAACGTCAACATTACTTACCTTATTATACCACCTAACGCGAGAAAGAGATCGTAAACATCTGTGGTCAAAAACAGACAATCTCTTCATGTCTTCCGCTCTCAATGGCCACATCTCACCGCCATAGAGAAGGACGGAGCGAACTGCTGAGCAGTATACACGTCCCTTGGTTGACAGCCGGATGTCACGCCTACGCCAGAGACGGTGTAAGTTAGCGAAAGCAGCTCGAGCTTTCTGGATCCGTGCTGACATTTCGTCACCAATCAATCCGTTGGTGCTGATACAACTTCCCAAATAGGTGAAGTGGTCAACATGTTCTATCACTTCACTCCCTATCACTAAGCTAGGAGTTGACCAGTCGTTGACCACTCTGTGAGAGAATCTAAACGTATTTTATTCGACCTTGGTTTGAGCATCCTCTTGTGGTGACCTCATAAATGTGTCCTAGAGGGAGAGAAAAAGTTTGATAGGTCAATTCCTAGACCACCCTTTAATATACGGTATGCCGAAATTAAGTAGCCTCTCTTCCTTCGGTGTGATTATGCGAAGAGATACCACTAACTAATTTTGTCCCTACCCTCTGTACTCTTTCCAGGATATGTGCCTCCTTTTTGAGGCATGAACTCACCGCTTGTATGAGTATTCTAGATGAGGTCTGACATAAGTTGCATAGAGTACTTGGAACATACCTTCACCTAATTGTTTGAAAGCCCTTCGGAGTGCCCATAGCATTCGAAAAGCCTAAACTGAGGCTCGATTAAAATTTTCCGTTGTTTTTAAGTCATGACTTACAATAATTATTAAGTCCTTTTATTCCCCAGCATCTGGCAGTTGTGTCCCTCAGGGAGTACGACGTGTAAGACTTCTGACCTAGGTGCATTACCATGCTTTTCTTGGAATTAATTTCCAGACCCCAAAGGTTAGCCCATTCGGATAATTTATCTAGATCGTTTTGTAGTACCAACCTATCATCATTACTATTTACGGTTTTCCATATCTTAATATCGTCCGCAAATAGTAAGGAAGATGAGGTAAGAACTTTTCGGCACTGCATTTGCGTATAATATAAATAGCAGGGAGCCAAGTACAGTTCCCTGAGGTACTTCACTTAGTACTGCTTTCCACCCTGACAGTACACCATTAACCTTTACATTCTGCCTTCTATCATTCAGGTAGTCGCTGAACCACTCACATAAGCGTTGGTCTAATACAAAACGCTTAAATTTACTAAGAAGACCTAAATGGGAATGCTTTACTAAGACCGATAAAGACAACGTCCAGTAGATGGTTCTTATTCCTGGCTTCGACCCAAACTCCCCTAGCTAACAGTAAGTTTGTCAGGCAGGATCGTACTGATCAAAATCCATGCTGTCCCACTGCCAGTGGCCATGTTTCACCATACGAGCTAAGAGCTGATCCTTTATGAGTGTCTCTAATACCTTTGCTATAATGCAGGTCAGAATTACAGGCCAGTTGTAAGATACTGCCTGTTCCTCTCTTAGAAGATGGGGCTTATAAAAGCATGTTTGCATGACTTTAGCATCTCATGTGCAAATGAAATCTACAATGTAAACTACGAAATAATTGTGTATTTACTACGGATCCATCTTTAACATATATAAAAACAAAAATCTACTTACATAAAATAAGTGTACACAGTTCATAAGGCTCAGCGAGAGAACGGAACTGCAGAATTTTCGCCTCTGCTTGTCTCCTGTCCTCTGTCTTCACTGCCAACTAGCATACAAAATATAAGGGCTTTCAAAAATTACCAGCTGAGCTGTAGCAGCCTCTTCCAACTCCCTAAGTGCATCATCCATTAAAAAACACGCGTAGTTCCGTTTATCTTCAAAAGTCCCGCGTCTTGAACAGTTTTTTTGATTTCGATAGAGAAAGAATGACTAGATTTGCAGTATAAAATGATATCATTCTGTTTCACAAGTTCTCATCAACTTACTGCAAACTACCTGAAATTACCATAATTATAAGTAACGACATTTCATACTTCAATGTTTAAAAGGAATAGAGAAAACATCCCAAGATGAACGCATCCAATTGTCAGTATTAGGCTTCGAGACTGTGATAACCCTGCTCTCAGTGAGTCAATTAAAAACCTAGAAACCATTTCTTCTGGGAGACAGGAATAACTAGTACTCCATAACGTCACAGTTCGCCCTAGGCTGATATATATTCTGAGATATCGCGACTAGTTGGAAAATCAGGAGAAAAGACAGATTATCCCAAAGCCATTGCCGAGGATTATGGGCAACCTCATTAGATCTCCCCTGTTGGAGGAGACTCAGTCTTCCGATTCTCTAATAACACGGAATATCAATCAAACTAAGGACCAGCCATGTACCCATCATTTGAAAACTCTCCGGTGTGCATCACACAACTTTTTGAAAGGCCTCTCTGACGCCTCTGGGTAGTTTTCTTGTTCCGACCTCTCCAAAGATATATAGTAACTAATGTCATTTTTCTAGTCCTTTGTTTGATGCCGACATAATTCTGCCAGTCAAGATTGCACATACACCCTGCTAGTTATTGCCAACAGGCAAGAAACTTAATTCTATGACTTCTAGCCGGTTGAACATCCAGCAACAGTTGAGGGTGATATATTTGTCACAGGTGATACTGTGGTTATTCGACTCATCCTCCTATGTTGTAATTAACCCTTACTCCACAGATGAATGCATCTTCTATTCTTCTTGCACATAAGCTGTTGCAGTTGCACTTGCTCTATTTGAAAATTTCTTGTAATACAAGTTTCCTAAACCTTTTTGATTTTACTTCGCGACCATTAGCGAACCACAAAGTTTGTGCTCACAGATATATGTGAATATCTAAGGAGATTTATGTGTACGTAATATGAGTTACACTTTTCCGCCTACAAACTACGTTTTATGGAGCTATCATCTCATGAGAGGAGTAAATTTGTTGTTGTTGTTGTATTATTTTCAATACCTGCAATCTTGTAAAGACACTGATTACCTACCAACAGACAACCACATCTGTGTTAGTAGCCGGTATCAAAAGCAGAAGAGTCAGAAGATGGAAAATGAAGCTACCATCCACCCCATGAGGAACAACTCCATCACCTCAAAAATTTCAAAGGACGGGAAAACTCTCCGGCGGAATTGGGAGGACAGTTCAATTCTAGCCTGAATGACGCTGGTGTCTAAATACTTCATAGGAGTTTGTCGTCAGTGTGTCCTCACACGGTGTAAACGTCAATAAGTGTGGAGACATAGAATGTCCCCTTTATATTTGCGGCTAACAAGACCGCTGTTGTTGTGCAAAATGAGAATATGTGAAGCGGAAGTGTTAGGAATGTGTGACATCAAGCAAATTAGGAAAAGACTAGCAAAACTGCTGACTGGATGGTCAATAATCTAATCCGGTTACACAGAAGACAGCGAAGACCATATTGAAAGTGCAGCTACCATGATGTTACTAACAGCATCAAAAGAGCACACATGGCGGGAAGCGTTCCCATCCTGGGTCATGACGGTGAGATTTAATTCAGAAGGAGGAGTATGGATATACAGATTTCCGTCACATAAAATTAGAGACGCAGCACATCAGACACAAGGTAGGGAAAAGGATGAGAAGTAGCTTCATATTTGTATCCAGTACACGAATCTTCACTGTCAAATCAAAAGCTCCCAAAGTACTTGGATAGAAACCAAAATTCTCATTCATCGACCGGGGTCCATCAGTCTCATGAGTTGTCACTGATCATACCGATATGAATCTTGTCGTAGACTTTTATCTAAGCGTCCATTCACCATACTTGAGTTTCCAAAATATTTCCCAAGTTTGGACATGCTATAAATTAAAAAAGTAAATCAAAGCATTGTGTCAAAAACATCACACTGTGATAGGAGGTCTGCTAGTATCTATCAAGCTACGCCATTTGACCTTACGAGGTTACAAACTACCTCAGAAGATTTCGACATATCATCCGAGAGTGGAATAGTCCATTCATCGAGAAGCTCATGGCCATCCTTCAGATGGCCTAAAAAGATAATTCGAATAATACTAGACCATGCGAAGACTGAGAAATTTGACACAAGTTGACATTACATTCATAGTACCCGAGACCGTACGCTGGTGGCTTCCCCAGCAGTCTCCTTAACATCGTTGCTTTCCCCGAAATTTGTGAGAGCTTTACACTATATACCTATTCATATCTGTGATATCTGGGGATAATCGTTGTGGTTCCTTCTGGTCCATTTGAATTTGTTCAAATTGTTTCAGGCCTATGAACGCCGCCCAGATATTTTAGTGGCCAACGTATCAGGCCTAATGTCGTCTACCTTTCTTACACACTCACAGGGACAACAAGTTAATCATAAATTCAGACGAGGCTGTGCGTCGGTGGCACAGCGGTTATGACTCTCGCCAACCATGCACATGGTCCGGGGTTCGATCCCCTGCCAATGCACACCCGATATCAATGGTCGGCCAGCTATATTTGGGCTACCGATATAACATGCTGAAAATTCCATACTTGTATCAAAATGACGGTGTGGAATCAAGCTATAATAAAAAATAAAGCTACTGCAATTCCTTTCCGTTGGACGTCTGGAGTATGATAAGACAATTACTATTCCCTTGGGTTCCGAGAGGAAAATAGGGTTTCAACAGCACATCTCCACCTCGCCCTGTTCTCCCCTTCCCTCTTCATCTGGATCAACGATTGCTCACAAGACCACACCTCCTTCTCATTCGGTCTCTTCCATGCCACCCTTGGACCTCAACTATCCGCTTCCCATTCGGGTTCCACTCGGAATTATACCTGACCGCGAATTCACCCAACACTCTTCTCCTTTAGCATATATGTGAGGCAGTAAGTTTTTGGTTGGTTTGTCCCCAGTCGCTTATTCTTTCTGGCCACCTGATATTAACTATGAAACGAAGGCAGTTGTTGATGAAAAAGTGAAGAATTTGGTTACGCGCCAAGTCTCTGAACAATTTACCCTGACAAGTGCTAATTAGATTAACCCTGTTGAACTTAGTGGGTCAGTTAATTGTATTCATCTTGTTCCTGCAGAGTTGCCAGACTATCCGCCGCCTGACTCGTTCGGAGAATTAGGTCTAAATGTCTCTTCTCAAACCTTTAAGCCCGATTACGTCCTATGGTTGCAACCGCTAAACTATTTCTTTCGTGAACAATTCTAGTAAAAGTCCCGCGAATTGCCGCTAGCTGCAGCCATGAATTCCTGCATTACTACCGCTTTTCTACATAATTCTGCATATGAGCTGAAGGGAGATATACTCTAACCATGTCAAGTGAGCTTTTAATAATGATAATAATTTATGTTTCGTATAAACTGGTGTTTACAAGAAATGCATGCCATTTTTACAAGCACGATCCGTTATGTAATATATTACAATAATGTTTTAAATAGTCTAAATTGCCAGATTATTGTACAAGCCATTGGAACAGGTTGGCATAAATGCCATATTTACACCTCTGGTGAGGTCAAGACTAGTAAACTGTATCCAGGGAGCCAGTTCTTGTCTTAAAGCGGACTCACATATTCTAGAAAAGGTTCAAAGGAAGGCAACACGTATGACTTTCGGCATGTCTAACTTATCATACGAGGAAAGACCAGACAATTTAAACCTCTTCTCCCTGTCATACCGTAGGCAGGGAGGAGATTTAATCACGATATTTAAAATTTTAAATAATGACTACAGACCTGACCCATTCATCTTTCCCCCCCCCCGAAGGAATACTCTAGAGGAAATAGCTAGAAAGTTCAGAAGCTAAGAAGAAGTCATATTGCTGTTGAGTACTGCTTTTCACACCGAGTCATTAACTACTGGGACAGACTCCCAGAAGAAGTGGTGTCTGCGACCCCAGCCGATTCATCTAAGAAGTGTTTGGACAACCACAGAAAACTACTAGAAAAAGATTAACATAGTCTCCAAGCCTTCTATCCTCAACCAATAAATCTGAAATCTGAATCCGTACACCCTTCACTAAGGTAACTGTCAAGGTTGAACGCCAACCCAAACTTCGTCCCGTTTTATGCTGATAGTTATAGTCAACCAATGAACAGCGTATATTTGGGTAAGTGCTATGCCGCCACGTGATATAAAGCTGTTTCGCGAGAAGAGTGTACTGGCAAACTGCAAAATCGCAACAAATAAAATTATGGATAATACATAATTGGAAGTACAATAACAAGATACTTATAAGGAGGTGGAGACTCCCTTGGATAATAGTTTAGAGGCTGACGGTATTGACGTCCACAGATAGCACGAAGTATACTAATGCAAGATCTAATACCTACAAATTCTATAGTATTCGTTCAGCGTAGAACAAATGCATAGTAAAACACTAGAATTGATCGTCCAAATTACGAGTTATATAATTAATTAACTAAATCCGAAGGATGGACAAGTTGTAGTACATATTTCAATATTCATCCACATGACGATCATGATGACAAATCCAAATCACTATCTATACAGCGTTAATAAACCTGGATATCTACGAAATAACGAAAATATGCTGACGGCTGCATTTCAGATCCCACTGAGTCATTCGACGGTTAAATTCTGCTCCTGCATGGCTCTTTCGGCATTTTTGTATGGACTGCTTCGCAGTTACTCTGGTTCCAGACCAAAAAGAATGAAAAATTCACTGGTTGCTGAATCAGTAATACTTCTCTGCATGTTTAACTGGATTCTAACTGCTGTGGTAAGCCTCTTGCAGATTATATTGCTTAAAACATCGTTTACGGTAAACTAAGTAACGTTTAATGAGCTATTTTTATACTTTTGTGAGTAGCCTACCTAATGTAACGCAACACTCAGTTAATACGCTCATTTTCAACAAATTCAAACAATAATGGT